ATTTTCTGTTTTATTGCACGGTAAAAGAAAAAATTAAGTAAATTTGAGAAAAATTGAAGAAAAAAAGCCCATATTAAACAAATATTTGTGGTAAATCAAGAAAGAAATTGAAAAAAAAAAAAATAAGCAAAAAAGGAAAAAAATCAAATATTACTTTTTCTCTCTTTCCTTTTCTGTTAACTATGCATACACAATTTTTTTTTTGTTTTCCTTGTTTTTTTTTTTATTTTTTTTTTTTTGTTTACATCCAATATCTAAAGTGAAAGTAATTTCCAGATTCACGATTATAAATGCAAATATTATGTACATATGTATATATATGCACAAGTATGTATGTATATATTATGTTTGTATATCGGAATTCTCTTAAAAAAAAAACATAGTACAAACTGATGATATGTACTTAAAGTTTTTTTTTATTTTAAACACCTGTACTTATAATATTTTATAATATTAAAATCGAGTTTATAACAGTTAAGTTCCAATCATCGACCTCTATTCCTAATATATACATACAAGTTTTTTCTTCTTCTTCTTTTTCTACATACAGAAAATAATATGATATTTAAAAAGAAAAATGTATAGGATATCATCATAATCATCTTCACATCTCTTCATCTCTTCATCACCTCAGACCTCATGGTTACATGTACATCGTATAAATAAATTTACATATCGATTTTTCATATACATACATATATATATTGTAATAAATGCACTTTCGATTTCAATACTTGTATTATGTATATATATATATGTATATAGAAAATGATTCCGAAAACAATATCCATTGATCAAGAAATGGTTGAATGAAAAAATTTTATTTTCAAATGAAAATTTATTATATTGTATTACTGCATATTATTATTGATTTTTATTTTCAATAATAATATAATAAGGAAAAATTTAAGGAAAATAATAAGGTAATATTTCAATAAATCAAAAATTTGAAGAAAAAAAAATTTTTAATTTCTTCCTCAATTCAATTTCTTTTCTCAAAGAATCTTGTCTCTAAGCGATGTCTTATAATAAATTTTTTACCCAATTGAAATTTGAACAAATTACAGAAAAATTTTCGATACTTATTTTGAATTTATATTAATAATTTTTTCTAAGTACAATTTTTAATGAAAAAACATATTTTCTTTTCAGAGTAATTTCTAACGTGTTTTTAATTACATCCTTTCTTTATAGAGCCTTTAGAGAGAGATTAAAACTACATCATGTCTCTCTATATATAGAGAGCCTTTAAGTAAAATATCAAATTAAAATATAAATTTCTTCATTAAATAAAAAAATACTTTACATTTATTCTATAATTGCTGTTTTTATAATTGCTCAATAGTTCGATATAATTACTATTATTGCAATGTATCGGATTTCGAAAGTTAATTTTACCAAAAACATATTTAATAATTTTGATTCATGCCATAATGCTTGTATGTAATACCTACGATATATTGATTTAATATATTTTCATTCCAATTTATTTAAACAAGTGAAGCCGACCCAAAATCAAAATTAAAGCTGAAAATAATTGCATATTTAAAAAAAATAAAACAAATATTTAACCTGAAAAAAAGGAAAATCAAATGGGAAATTGCTTAATAATGTCACTCACATCTATGTTATTACAAAGTTTACCAAAAGTTACCCAAGTAATAACGCAATCGCAAAATACGAATTAATTTCACTTAATTGGTATCGAAAACAAAATGACAAATTTTGTTATCAAAAACTTTCATTAATTCAACCAAAACACAATTAGTATTCAAAAATAAAATATTTCTAAATTTTTAAATTTATAATAATATAGAAAAACAATTTTCATTATAACTAAATTTCCCCTCTAAATTAAATAAAATATTTTCTAATCTTTTTTTTTTTTTGATAAACTATTTAAATTAATATAATTTATTAAAATTTATATTAAAATAAGGAACTACAATAGTAAATTAGAGAAAAAATATAATATTAAGGAAAAAAAATAATATAATTTTTAAATATAATATTTTCAAATGACTACCTATACTATATCAAAATTTAGTCAAGTTTAAGCTTTACTCTAAAATATTACAAAATATTTTTTGATAATAACAATATGTAACTTGTTTGGTTCCGTTTCCAAAAGGAAAACGAATTAAAGATTATATTATTAAAAAAATAATGGAAAAAACAACCTTTCCTTTACTTTTTCATGATAGCTTCAAGCTAGAAAATTATCAACTAAAAAAAAAATTTTTATGTTTTTTAATCCTGGTCATATTATATAAGTATAGGTTAATTTATGCAAATTTTATATATAAATTAACTGTTGTTGATTACATTAAAGTTAATAAAAATATTAATGGTACCCACAATGAAAATGAAAATTTAATACCAATCTTGTCTTATTACCAATTGTTTTTTACGATAGGACATTGTTAATAATTATAATTAAATACATACTGCATATAAATTTATAAATTTAATATTATTTACATTAAATAATGTAAAAATGTATAAAATAATTATAGTAAATTGGAAGAGTTTTTAATTAAAAATTTGGTACATGATGTAAAAATTGAAAAAATGCAGTTTGTAAAATAGCACATTTCAATTAAATAATTTCAAAACATTCACTTAGATTATTCTTCTGTTAAATTCATGTAATTAAAATGTAAAGAAAATGAAAAGGAGCTAATTTCAGCGGCCATTATTAATTATATGCTATTTCGTAGCAAAAGATAAGCAAGCGTTTTATCTTCCTAAATTTTTCTTGCAATTAAAAAAAACACCAAGATCTATTTGTTTAAATAATTTTCCTTAAATAAAATACATATAATATTTACACAATCAATCTCAATTAATTTTGTTCAAATAAATGTAAAAATTTAATAAAAATTCTATTTACAATCATAATAAAACTTTATTTTAATGTAAAACGTCTTGCTATTTAAATCATGTGGCTTATTAAAACTTAATATTCTCTTTGAAAAAATTATGTAATAAAGCATAATTTCATTCATATAGTAATTGATCACCTCATAATATTCTTTCTGAAATAAAATAAACAAACAGCCCAAAAAATAATGTACAAAAATATATGTAATATTATTAAAAAGAAAACATAACAAAAGCCGCCAGAAGCATGAAAACATGCAAACGTACAAAATCAAATTTTGTAGGTGTCTTAAAAAATGTTGACATTTTTTTTCGAAATGTAAACATTTTCAGTTTTTTACTTGATTATGGTACTCGAAAATGGTCTCCGGCAAGTTAAATCTTAACATTAATATGAATACTTTGTAGGTAATTATAAAAACCAGGAGAGTCAAACACGTTTTGGAATATGGAATTTATATTGGGGCTTGTATTAATTTCATATTATTTATTTTATATTAATACGATCGAAAGTTATATAAATAAATAATTGGTTTATTCTCATCCTAAACGAGTTTCTTTTCCTAAATCATTTCTATAATTTTAAAAATATCCGTGCATAGAAGATACTTAAGAGCTTTAATTTATTTAAATCACTTATAGCAAGTGACTTAAACCATAAAAGATAATTCTTTAAATTGCTATTTACACATTTCTAAGTCTTGTTTACATACAATATAACGAATGGCCATTAATTGAATTGTTATTGATTTAAATAGCAAAATTTATTATTATAGCATAAATTAAAAATAAAATTCAGGTGATCTACATAAAATTTCAATTGTATATTTACTATAAAATATTAAACTCTTTAAAATAAATATTTATTAAACTTTCAATATTGAATAACCAAATAAATAATATTTATGCAATAGAATTGAATTATTATCATAAAATTTTTTTAAATTATATTTATTATTTAATTAACACCGAATTGCTATATTAAGAATTTCAATTCTAAAAAAGAAAATTGATTCTGAAAAACATGCATATACGAGTATATGCAAAATACATGCGAATTTCTTTTAAATTAATATTAAATATTTATATATGTTGTTTTTTATTTTTTTTCAAATTTAAGTTGAATGTCCAATATCTTAAGATCTTGTATCTTTAAAAAATTTCCATAGAAACTAGGTTTTTTTTTTTAAAGTTTATAATTTTAAAATACTTATGTTGGTTTCTATCAAGTGTTAACTACATTTATGTACGTGTATTTCAAAATAAATTTAACAGTTTCGCAAATAATTATTTTGATAATGACAGTTAAAATTTTATTAACCCTTGTTTAGAATTATCATATTTATAATAAATTATATTTATAATAAATATCCATAATATCAATAAATCATATTTATAATAAATATCCTCATTCAAAATTATTCCATTAGATTTATGCATGTGTATATATTTCGGAAATAGACTTTTCAATTTAAATTTTGTTTAAACACTTTAATTTTGAATAGACTGCATCAATTAAGCCATAATCATTGAATATTTTGGATGATTCACAACGTGTTTGCCTTTTAAATTATTCAATATATAAAATATTACAATTAAATATCAGAACTTTATTTCACTTTTTGTTTTTACAACAAAATTAATAAGCTCTTATAAAACTAATGGCTTGTAGGTTACCTTTCACACAAATTATATTGCTTAAGTTTTTTTTAAAAAATTATTCAAACTATCGTTTGCGATTTTGATAAACAATTTGTCCAAAGATAGCATTTTCAGAAATTTGATGGCCTTGGGAATGGAAATAAGTAAACATTGTCTTTTACAGAACGCAAATTTTCCCAAAATTCAATTTTGTATATAAAATTTAAGTATTTAGTCCTTTAAGACATGTGTAAATATTAAGTCTTATAAATAGACGAAAAGACGAAGGGTAAATACGAAACTAATAAGCGTATTTTTTTTCATTGAAACTGTACTAAAATGCACACTCGTTTTTTTGCAGAAGATTTAATATTGTATATTTAATTACGGTTTTCTGGATCTATGTCTGTGAACTCGAATTTAAGGCTTTGCAAAAGAGTAAGTTTGCAAATTGTACCTACAAATTAGAGGATGATTATTTTTTTAACATGTCTTCACAAATATAATAAAATTCTGAATAATTTTATTTTTTATATTTTTACAACAGTGCCAATAAAAAATTTTGTTAATATAATTTAAGTACAAAATCAACAATTTCACTGAATTATTAAAAATAAATTTTTAAAACTAACATAAAGATCAAAAACAGTAATATAGAAAACATTATTATATTAAGGCACTTTACACTGTAAAAAGTCTTTTTTAATCCATTTCATTAAATTCGTTCAATTCTGCCAGTCTTTCAGCTTCCTTAAATATATCTGGTATAGGCGCATCATTAGATTGGGCAATAATATTATAACGTTCTGCTGATCTTAAACATTGTATTGATATTTCAACAGCTTTTGTTCTATCTTCATCTTGCAACTTTGATAATCCCATTAATAATTCTAACACGTCTGTTTCCATTACCTTTCTGGCAATTTCTTCATTTGCATTTATCATATTTAAAATGACAACTAAACCACGATGTTGAACATCAGGACTTGGATTTGCAATTAGTGTATGCAAAACATCTAACCATCTTACTGTATCGAATATTTTTTTGCAACAAATTACACTTTCTGAAGTTAACATTGCTAAAGCTCCTGAAGCGGCTTTGGCTGTTTCTTCATCTTCACTTTCACATAATAATGCTAGAAATTTAACACGATCATTTTCGCCTTCATGTAGTTTTACAACTTCTTCAGACATACATAAATTACAAATGCACTGCACAGATGCACGTATCAAAAACTCGTGGTCTTCCATTAAATATGCTTCAATTTTAGATAAGCCTTGCTCTGTCAATATTCGTTTACGAACCGATTCACCCATTTGGGCTAAATTACATAATGCCATTAATGCTTCAAAATTTTCCAACGCAGTGCAATCAGGATGCAATAAATTAAGGAGAGGTCTTATAACCTCCAGACTCCTTTGACCAGGAAACGCTACCTCTGGATTTATAGTTATTCCAATTCGAGCTAAAGCTTGTGATGCATGCCTTTTTCCTTTTTCAGTACCATCTAATGACATAGGAAGTAAAGCCTTAGCTCCCCCATCTTGAACAACTTTCCCACGCAATTCTTGCATGCTACATATTGCATTAAAAACTCTGGCTATCAATTCTTTTGAATTTTTACTATCAGTTTTTGATAAATTAACTAAAGCTGATGTAATTCCATTGTTACAAAGAACATCAATTCGTTTGTTAACAAAGTCCATGTCATCTAATTCATGCTCCTCTGGAATATGATGCTTAGCAAATTTAGCCAGTTCAATCATTTCAGGCATCAGTTCTTGTTTTTCATAAGCATTACACAAGTTTACGAAGCACGTTACAACACCATACAAAATGGATTCTCCACCATTTCTTGCCAATTCAATCAATGCTCTAATAGCTGGTATATCTTCACATAATTTTTCCTTAACTTCTGCATCCAATGTTAAATATGCTAACCCATCTGCAGCCCATTTTCTAATGTCTTTATCCTTTCCAGGTTTGATTAAAAATCTTCTACACGCTTCTGCCATTTTTTTTGTGGACCCGTCGGCAAAGGGCCTTATCGAAGCATCTGTACCACCATAACTTCCTAGTTTACATAAACCAACAAGTGCTCGTACCCTAATAGCTTCATTTTTCGAATTGTATAATTTTTTTAAAATATCTACAGCCATATGCATCATTGTTTGGGCTTTATCTTTCTTGGAGGTCGCAGCAACAATACATTCACAGGCTACCTTTTGTTGCAAAGCATCATCATCTGATGCCATTGCCAAAATCATTTGCAATACACCTAAAACAATTGTATGAATTTTACGTGAATGCAAAGTAAAGATAATATCTCAATTAATTATTTTATTTACCATCTCTTGCCATAATGCTATTACCAACATCCAGAGGACCATTTAATAAAGATGTAATAGCAACCGTTACGCGCACTTTTGACTCGAAATCTGGTTCCAATAATTTTTCCTTTACATATTCCTCTATCTGTTCCGTAAATTTTGCTCTCAATTCATCATAATACATACATTCATATATTTTAGCTAAACAAACTGAAGCGACTGATCTTGAATTCTCCGTAATGTCCATTGCACTTTCATATTTATATTCTTCCAACTCTGAACAAACTTCCATTAATCTGTACAAACCACGTATTTCAACTAAACGCTCACCCCAATTCAATGCACTATATTGGACGTTTCTAGATAAAAGTTCCATAATAGCATCTCTAGACATTCCGGATATTAAACGATCCGTAATAGAATAAACCAAACACGTTAGGATTGTATCTATTTCTTTAAAATATTTTTGGCACATTTCTTTATTTGGTTTACTTTCTACCTTATGATCCATTCCAGAAAATGTGTTTAATATTGTTTGTAAACAAAATTGTGCAGCACTTATGCGATCAGCATTTTTACTGTTCAAAACTTGGAGAAACCAAGGTATACCGAGACTTCCAATAACCACTTTTGTACGAGGTATATTTTTGTTACAAATCTCACTAATTGTTCTTATGGCGTTCAAGTAAATTTCTTCACACTTCTCAGTTTTTGTCAAAGCAGCTATTTTAGGAACAATCCCTTCCTTTTCTAAACATTCGGCACCGACTGGTTCACGAGCCAAAACTAAAATATTATTCATAGCACTTTTACGTTTATCGACTGGTGAATTTAAATCAAATGCAATTTCACACATTTTCTTAACTTTTGTTGACGTTTTTGCATTTTCTGTTGCACGATCTTGTACTATAGCGTGAAGTTTTTTTAACATTGGTTGAACGGATTTGTTATTTGGATCCGCTTTCCATAAATCTACAGCATCTTTATATGCCTCTTCGTATTTTTGTAGACTTTCATATGCTTGAGACCGCCTAAACAGCGCTTTAGGATCATTTGGAGTGATTTCCAATGAGTTCGTACAATCAGTTAAAGCTGCCTCATAATTGTTCTTCTTTAAATGGGCGGCTGCTCTATTCTTATAATATATAGCCAAATCCTTATCTTTCATGGATGACCTCAATTTTATAGCTTTACTGTACATTTCAATTGATTCGTCCCATTTTTCATTTTTAAAAGCTTCGTTGCCTTTTTCTTTAAACTTAGTTGCTTCTTCCATCATATTTTCTGCATCGATATTGCCCATTTTTTTTTAATTTTTTTAGTAATTTTTTTTTTAATGAAGTAACCTCTTATGTGTGCCTCTCAAATCAATGTGCTTTCCTTTTATATTGTCAAAAAATATGCGAGAATTTTCGATATTTTACACGATTTCGAAGAATTTAATGTTATTATTATTTGGATGAAAATCTATTTTTAAAACTTATTTATTCCTAAAATAGACATTTTTTTGTAAACAAAAGTTGATGTTTTACTGTCAAATTGATATGTTCTGCTCTCACAACCAGATGAAAAAATTTACGAGTATCGATATTTAAGATTTAGGTTTTCACATTTACTTTTCCATAAAGGCAAACATCATCTTTACTTTTAAATCGGCACCACAAGTTATGTGTCACAGTAAGAAAACTGCAATGGACGCGGTATAGATTGTCAAAAAATTGGTTTTATGTATTAAAATAAATACTTTTTTCCAAAGATGATGCGTTATAAGAAATAAATCATTTTTAATATTTATAGTTCAATCATACTTTTACAACAACAAGTGTATACCGTTTTTTTCATTTTTTCGTTCTGTTTTTGCAAAACTACATTACTGATTAATTAACAAAATCATATTTTGCTTAGTTAACCTTTCAGGTCGGACGTGATTATTTGATCTTTTAAAATTTTCCTTAATTGATCAATGAAAATGTCAATTGAAGAAATGAATATAAATGTAACACATAAATAACTAAAACTAAATTTACAAGTCACCACACACAAAATGACCTAGTTGTATTTAAACGACTTTTCTATGTATCAATTCTTAGAAACAGTAATTTTCATAATTTGAAATTAGTAATTTTGCAAATGATTTAAAAGTCATTCAAAACTATAAAAATAAATTGATGTATTCAGTGTAAAAAAGCACTTAAACTCTTTTCATCACTTGAATTATTATTCCTGCAAAAATTCTCTGAAGGACTTGAAATAATATCATCATCTTTTATTTATGTGAATAACGTATGTATGTATATTCATTCCTATACCTGTTTGTATATTGCCTCACGGTCACGTAAATGTTATGTTATAGACTAATGTTAGAAAAGAAACCTTCAGTTAATCGCGTTAAAGTAAATATCGTCAATTGCTAAAACGATTAAAGCATTTTAATTATATATATGTATTATGATCAATGGATTAAAGCAATTTAATTTGCTTCACATACATATTTTCTGAACTGAACGCACGCCATACCATTTTTGTCGATTTATATTTTTGCTTTAAAAAACAATATTAAATTTAGAGAATCGAAAGTATGACAGCAAAATATAAGTAAAAATTCGACAAAATATCCACGATCTCTTTCTTTCTTACAAATTTTCATCAAAAAATAGAAAGACAGACGACAATAGGCCAGCGTTGCCATAGAATATTTTTACAAAGATTAAAAGTTACACAGTGGTTTCGAAGTAAAAAAAATAATTTTTAAAATAATTTTAATTAATAAACTTTTGATAAAAAAAAATAATTAATTAATAATTTTTTACGTTAGTTGGTTTGAAATTTTATATTTTATAATAAACTAATTTCACTTACTGTGCTGTAGTTTGGCAATAATCTAACCAACTTTCTGAACACTACAGTATAGTTATATAGTAAAATCATCAGCTATTTCGTTTCAATGAGATTTTTTTTTCATTAAAAGTGAATAGTGAATAATTATTATTATATATCGTTAAGAGTAAGTAATAAATTGTGAATATATTTAATTGAAAAAAATTAAAAAACAAATAAAAATACTAAAACAATAAAATTTGGGCATGAAATATATTAGAAAGAAAATGTTTATCAGTGAATAAATGAGTGTTGAGGGCGTCAAATGTATACTTGACTTACATATCTTACTTTTTAAATGAAAAATTCTTATATATATAACCACACTCCTAAATTTTAGTTTCATATTAATTAAAAGTTATCTTATCTCTTATTAAAACTTACATATCTATATAAATGTATACATATATTAATCTATAAATAATTAAGTTTACCAATACCCTATATGTTCAAAATAATTAAAATTCTCAAGGTTAATGTTTACTAGACACTAATTTTCTATAAATGGTCATCGAATTTTTATAAACTTCAACGTTATGGCTTATAAATGTAAATGATAGAAAAGTGGATTAAAAATAAATACTATTCAAAAAGATTTAATTCTTTATAAATAAATAATTTTAATGATTTGCGTCTTAAAGCCCTAAAAAAATGCATATTTAGGTATAAGTACCTACCGACTAACCTACCTGTACATAATTACTAACGCAGGAAAAAAAGCAAGTGTATTTTTTAAACATCCATCCATCTCTTTGTAAAAAAAAAGAATAGCAAAAATACGAATGCAATAATAAATTATTTGTATCCGTCATTATTACTCATGCAATCATTTTTATTGTTTAGATGAAAGACGGGTTGAAAGGGGCAGGTTTATTAAATTGAAATCAATTATTCAATTGTCAATTTAATATTCATCCACTTAGAAAAAAAATACGCATCTCATATAAGCAAATCTGAATTTTTTATGTTTGCTATCGTAAAGATAAAATACCAATCAACAAGTTATGAACTAAAACAGAAATACTGACGTATTCTAACGAATATTTTTAAAAATTCTCTTTAGGGGGCTTTTTATCCTTACTCGAACTGTTTTTGTTTCTCTTTTTATAGGGCGTGTAGCGGCTTCACTGTTTTTTGTTTGATATTTCTACTTTTTTATATGATTATATTATGTATGTATGTACATGCATGGGAAATTAGCACTTATATATGCAGTATGCATATGTATGCCTGTATATTAAAAATTAAATTAATTAGAGTTGTTATTATCTGCCTATTTACGTTTACATTTTGTAAATAATTTTAGAATTTTTAATAAGTATATATGTAGCCATTGAATGATAATCGTTAAAAACCTACCAAAACAGATAAATAATTTATTTCTAATTGTAATTATTATCAAATTAACTTTACAAAATGTCGTAAAGATAATGACGTCATAAATAACTTGGTTTTGTAGAAAAAAAATAATTTAACAAAAAATTTGCATACATAGTTATGTATATACGCAAGTGAATTTGTTATTAATTTAGAAGTTTTTTCATGCTCCTACGCAGTCAAAAAGCAAAAACAAATTTCGCTTATACATATGAATTGTTACATACATACCTACTTAAGAATTCTTTTGACTTAAAGAATCTTTCAATTTAGATTTTAAACTAATCTCTCAACGTTTATAATCTCGTATTTCAAGTTGTGTAGAAGCTTTATCATTAAATATGTACATATATGTAGGTACCTTTCCAGAGTTTTCGTTTATGTACGCTGCGCTGAAAGTTATACATTAGAATTAAAATATCTAAGTTGCAGCGTTAAACAGTATGCAAAAACTTTAGCTAAGTTTTTTCTGTTTCTTTCTAAGATTCTGAAACTTCTAAATAATCAATCGTTTGAAAATAACAGAAATGACATTGTTTATGAAATTGTATCCACAATTTTTCGCCTTCCAATTCATTGCATAACGCAATTTTAACAAAATATGAAGACTTAAATAAAACTTACTTTAATAACCCTTGAATATCTGAATCTGCCATTTTGAAATTTAAATTTTTTTTTGAAATTTCGTGAGGCAGCAAGAAAATTAAAACTACAGGTCTGCGCTACATTTCTAACATTTCTTTAATACAGATTGAATTTCCGAATGCACATTATTGCAGCCAGTAATTTCCGAACGATCTATATTTTCAGTGTATGTAGCGTGAATCTTCGAACATACTACGAGTACAAGCTAGAACTTTATTTTTTAGAACTAAATAAACGAAAACGTCCAAGCTACATATTAAAGCTAAAATTCGCTTTTTCAATTCAAAATAGTTTTTTTTTGCTTAGTTCTACTGGTCTGCATTATTAATTAAAGTATTTATATTTAAATTTCAAAACTCTTGTTCGATAAACGTATACTAAGTAGTGAGTAGAGTAAAGTTTTAAAGTACTAAGTAGTGAGTAGGGTAACCGAATTTTAGGTAATTTTTTATCAAAATATGTGTACAGGTAGTTATTGTCAAAATAAAAGTAACGCCTTTTACCGATTTTTTCTTTACGTAGGTTCAGTTAAACATTTTTCTTTTTTCAAAAATAAGTGAAAAATTAATTTGTATGAGGGTTGAGGAGTAATGATGTATATTTCACCTTAATTTAAATTTGCTGTATTTTTGATGTACTGCACTGTATTTAATTTAATTCGTTTCTCTAATTCTTTTCGAATCAAGTTAATGTATATTCTTATTCTCTTCCGAAATTGTTAAGTAATTTATCATTACATACGTGTCATCGTTTCATTAATTTCCTCTTCCATATAATTATTAAAAATGATTTTTATTTATTTCAAAAATTTTTCATATTTAATTCCAAAAGTAAAGCTTACAAATCATTTTTAAATTAATTTACTTACATAGTATCTGCCAAGATGATCTATTTTTATGTGATAAATCCATACAATAATTATTTAATTCCTGTTAGGATACTGAGTCAGTACTGTTGACACACCAATCTAGCTAAAAACAAAAAAAAACATGCAAAATATTTAAAAATTTTTTTTTATCCCTCCAAACTTAAACCCGCTGTTTAAGAGCATATTTGAGATCTTATATTTTTTTTAAAATAATTCTCGAGAGAAAGGTGCCATATTATACTCTTTTCTACATTTTTGGTAATATAAAATAATTGATTATCAAATGTTACTTAGGATTAGTTAGTATGCATGCACACATATGTACATACTCTATTTAGTGAAATTGACTTAAAAGAAGTGAATAAAAGAAAACTTACAAAATTCTATCCCCTTCAATACAATTTCTTTTTTAAATGTAAGCATATTCAAATTAGAATTAATTTAGAAAACAAATTTACAAAGCTTTTTCCAGAATGTTTTAGGAAGTAAAATTGATTAAAATTTCAAAATAATTTTTTACTATCACACTACGGGCACCTCGTGAAATCTAAAATTAGAAATTTTTTTATAAAAAGCCCTTCCCAAAGATCAAATATTCCGTCATTATTCATTGTTAGCATTTGCTATTTTCTACAATATCGTTATGTCGTTAAGACACATAATCTCAACTTAGTATTCACACTGTTGTATCTCGAACAATGATGTTCAAAATATGTATTACACAAATGAGTATGGCTTTCGGTGCTGAAGTAGAAAACATGTAGGCATTCACAATTACCAGCAGATATCAGTTGCTTACTACGATGATTTGCTTTGATATTTTAAATAACTCAACTTAGATGAAGATGAACTGAACGTGATACTTTTTTACTTTTGAATTCTTGTTATATTGGATCAGATGAGAACTACGTAAAATTGATTATTCTCTGAACTCTAGATGTGAATAACTGATTCGGTTTTTGGACCAGATGTAAACTATTGAACACAGTATTTAGTTTTTTTTTGGATCAGATGAAAGCAACATATAAACATGATTTTAGATCAGATGAAAACGGTTTATAAGCTTGATATTGGATCAGATGAAAACCTGGTATTTTACTGGATTTCTGATTCAATTTTATAATTATTCAGATGAATATTCGTTCAGATGAAAACTTTTGTTCAGATGAAGAACCCTTGATCTAATACTGATATTTTTATACATTAAATCTAAATTCGATGTTGATCATGTTTTGATTCTTAAATGTTCGATAAACAACTGAAATAAAATAAAAATAAAAAAAAATTAGTTGCCAGTTGTAAAGAATTTAAAAATATACTTGAATGAGAATGAGCTAGATTTGTTAATTTTAATGTATACAAATTTACTAATTATTAATTTCTAAATTATCGTAACAAAGTTACAACATTTTAAAACGCGATTGTAATTTTAATTCATAACTAGCTCTACTAATCATATAATTTAAAATTAGTATTTTTTTTTTTCATAAATTTCGGTATTTTTTATATTAGTATAAACAGGCAACATTCCGAATTTATCAACTATCTTATTGTTGTTGAGTCATAAATTTATTTATTTTGATAAAGCAATTTAAATTAAAAATATGTATAGAAATTTTTTGATATACGCGACTATAACTAAGTTTTCTTTGAAACAAAAAACAGAATTTTTTTTTTTCAATTATTTTTTGTGTAGAATTTTTATCCTTTTTAGGTGTTTGTACATAAAAAAATCAATATGCCATCCAATTGTGCTCTTTACATGAATAATGGTACACGAATTCAATTATTGAGTATAATATACATACGTGGTTATATGTGCACACAATTTAGAAATGAATTGTAGAGTAGATATAAAATATATCTAAAGATGGCTGGCACAAACAGAAAATAAAAACCGATGAACAAAATATTTTTTTATGCTTTTTCTAATTCTACAATGAAATATAAAATACAAATAATTAAAAATTGATTTGATGAAATTAATATTGATTAAGATAATTTTCACAAAACTTTATTTTCAGAATTTTTTTTCATTAACTTTTAAATATTGATTTCATACTTATTTTTCACTTATATAGAAGTTTAGATACCATTTTGAATTTGTGAATGATTATTATAATTGAATAAATTTGATGTTTTCTTTATGAATTTTCTTGTCGTCATTTGTTAAAAATTAAGACGATATTTGAAATTGAAATTTTTCTTTCATTTGCGAATTACTCGCAGTATTTAATTTTTTTCTTTGACGTCCTTCATTTTTTTCGCAACATTTTTTCCTTAATCTGTATTGCGTCCAGTTCTAGACCTTGATCTAGAGTTACGATTCCTCGAATTACTTCGGCTTCTTCTACTTCTCGATTTAGATCGAGACGAGTTATAACGACGTTTGCTGCTGCTTCTATCGCGGTCACTTCGTCCGCTTCTTACACCACCACCTCCTCCATGTGGAGATTCGTCACCACTATGTTGGTGAACTTCACCATTACCATTAGCATTTTCACGAGATGAACGGCGTTCATTACTGCGGTTTGAACTTTTCATTCTGGAATCATTACGTGAACTTTTTGAGCGTGAACGAGAACGCGACCGGCTTTTTGATCTATCTGATCTAGAGCCAGTACGTGATCTAGTACGACGATCTCTAGAATATGAACGTGAGCGACTACGGCTCCGACTTCTACGACGACTCGATGGTCTTCGGCGTCTGCAGTCTCTTGCGTAATGACCGCGTCCACCACATTCATAACATTTATCATCTGGATTAAATGGACGACTCCGTCCTGAACCACGTCTATCACGACCTGAGCCAGCCAATTTTCCCGTAGATAGTTCAACTCGAACCCTTCGCCCACAAATATTTCGTCCATCTAACCCCCGTACAGAATCTGCGGCATCTCTTGCATCTTCAAATTCAACAAAAGCAAAACCAGGTGGATTTCGAGCTATCCAAACACTTCGTAGTGTGCCATAAGCGCTAAATGCGTATTCCAACTCATTTTTCCTAGCATTATTTCCGAGGTCTCCGACATATACTTTTCTATCGCTCGGATAGCGAGACATACGCTTCGACATTTTGTTTTTTGTAAAATATAATTCAGTTTTATTAAGATAATTTCCTAAACAAACTTTTTACCTATTTTTCAACTTCTAAACTCAAAAAATGCAAAATTTATACTGAAAAGAAACTTGATTTTAACAATGCCGAAAATTCACAGAAATGAAAACGATGTTAACGCGACAAACACAAACATCAAAGAAAAAATTACACACATCTAAAAATTGTGGATGTGTGCACGAATAACCATACTAAAAATGCTACAAACACAATTTAACGTTTAGATTTTTTGTATGTATAATTTTTTGTCGCTGTAGTGTAGCTGGTGAACGAGCATTGTATTAAAAAATTTTTGAGGTTATGTGTTCCGCCGTAAAATTAAAGCCATTATTTATTTTCAATAAGTACACTAACAAAATTTTCAAACGCAATATAAAAATAGATTTTTTTTTTGGTTCACATCGGTTTTTTTTTCTTGAAGGTTTGACGTATCCTTTAAATTAAATTATAAAGCAACACAAAAACAAGATACATACATACACTATTTTATTTTGAATGTACAAATATACAATGTCTATTAGATGATGTTAACAGAGTGCAGAGTAGCTAAAAAATTATTCTTGCAATCCAAATCTTAATATTTTTTGAGAGTAAGAATTTGTTGCATTTATTTTTTTTTGGAAAAATTGTTGAATAATTCAAATATAAAAACCATTGAAAATAAACTACAATCTGCTTAAATTAATTAACCATTCGTTGAATATTCATGGAAATAGAAAGTCGACTTCATCATCAGATCCTGAGGACCTCATTTTGTATCACTAACCGAGTATTATAGAGTAATTTTGTTTTAAGATGATAAACTTTTGCCAATTTGCTCCTTTTTTTAATTTTTACTTAAAAATTAAAAAAAATTATTCTTGAAAAAAATTACATACATGTCTAACTCTAGTGACATAACAATAAAAAAAATGTTGTTTATAAAGCGACTCCAATTCGGTTTTGTTGAAGATGAATATAAAACTTTTTATATTTAAATTTATCGGAAAAGTAGGAAGCAATTTTTTCCAAAATTTCTTAACGTAAGAATCAGGCTATTATGAAAATTCACTAAAATTCCATAATTTTATTATTTATCACAGGCACCGTTTTCAATTATTTATCAACTATAATTTTTTAACACACTGTATTCTTTATTATTGCTTTGAACTTTCCATTCTTTTTTTGAATTGGGAATATGCAAAATACATATATTTTTGTTGTAGCGTTGTAGTTTTGAAAAAGTTTTCACACATGCATACATCACCTAATAGTTTTTGAGTGTGTGGTGTTCACAAACACTACTATATTTTGCGCCTTCGTTTTTCGTTAAATTTTATTGCTAAAATTAGGTATTCAGTAATTGGTACTTATGCATGTTTGTATATGAACATGAAATTAAAATTATTAATGTATAGTGAGGTTAAGTTTTATTTTTGATACCCTGTTATAGTTGGATGCTTCACAAAGCAATTTTTTTTGTTTTGGTGTTAATTTGTTATTTTCCTGGAAAAATTTTTCCTTAACTTCCCTATTGCGAAAATCAAATTAAATTAATCTTTAATCTAGCTGTAATGAAAAAAATAATAAGTTATATAATAAGTCAGATCGTTTTTGTATACAAATTAACTTTTGCGCTGCACATTATAACAACATTGTATAAAGGGTAGCAACGTAACAATGCAAATTTGTTTAGCATCCAAAATTTATTTCTATGCTAATGTAATATGTATACTTGTCTAAAGGAACCATAGAGCATGAATTAAATATATACATATTTACTCAGGCATATATTTTTATATCTTTTGACAAGTTGTCAACTTTTATTTTCTTTTAACATGTTTTAGAACTACCAATAAATATTTCTAGAATGGATTTGTGTAATCATCTGTAATTTTGTACTTCACAAGGTCGTTCACGTACAAAGTGTTACTTGTTATTTTTCAATGATACGCAGTTACGGGAAAATTAAGAATGATTTAAAATAAAAAACAAAGATTTGGGTGCCTTTGAGTTAGACATTTAGCACTTCATGAAATTAATTAAGAGAGTTATGTACATATGTATACATATGTACATACATATTTCAGAAAAATTTTAAAGATCTTTTCCAGGTATATATGCACACATAAAAATATCTTATGTATAAGTGTATACTATTTGTACAATCTGCTCGCCAAATTTTAAAATATGTTTTCAGTTCAGTGGAAATACGACAAACCAAATTTAAGTCGGATCTGAAATAGGATTACTACATACATACCTGTATAAAAACTTTCGTTAAAATTCGCGTAGAATTATTAAAAAGCCAATGTTTCTTATATTTCTTCCTTATATGTATTTCTTTTTCACAAAATGACAAAAATGACATCTGTATATGTAGCAGTTACACACAGTGATACCTTATATAAAACGAAGTAAACCGGTAAAAATACCAACTGCCTAGCTTAACATATTTATCAACTCTTTCGCACTTTGCTTTGCAAGCATACTTCTTAACCACAAATTTTTTATACAGTATAAAAGATATACATTATACGTGAAAAAAGAAGTACATTCACGCAAACATATAAATAATTATTAAATTTTGTACATGACCACGCATATATAAACCATCTACCTAATAATATAAGGCATATGGGTACCCATAACATAAGGTAGAAATCTTTGACTTCTATTTATATTGAATTTATTTGCAAATAATATGTAGCAAAACATGTACATAAATAAATAATTAGTTACAGAAGCATAATGTTCAGCGTTAGTGTTGCCACTTTGACTAGTGCATTCCAAATTAGAGCCACTTTGCACTTTTCAAATCGTTCTGTCGATTTTTCTTTTACTTGCTGAACACGTACTTATTTGATCTTTTTTCAACCTGAATTTCGACTTTAAATTTTTTATTTTATTTTTTATTTTGGAGTTTTTGGTTGTTTTATGTCATTTTAATAGAAATAGACAGCTCATGATTCAACGAATTGTAAAAATTTTAAGAAAGTGAAGCAGAAAACAAAAAAAAATTTAAGCTCGTTGTTCATTTAGTACGTATTGTTTTACTAAAGTATACTTGACTTCTTTTTTTTGTATATTGAGGAAATAAATAATGAGATGAGATTGAACTTCATCGCAGGCATACCTACATAAGACTTATTAAAGTTTTGCTTACTGTGTGCGATTGTAATGAGATCGTATAACAGTGTTAATACGAAAAATGAAAATATTTCAGCCAATGCTAACTGACTAGGTAGGTTAAATGCCAAAATTTCTTAGGTTAAAGTCCAAACTTTGAGCAATTATTTCGTCTTTCATTCATTTTTTCATTGTCGATAATATTTACCGTTATATATTTAAAATTTATTTAACAGTATTTTAGAGAAACTGGACTTTAAATTTTGATATTTTTTTAAAATTACATTTCTTACCTTAAATTTGGTACAATCCGTAATTTGTTTTTTTTTTCTTACCCAAAAGCATTTTTTCTGAATAAATCGTAAGCCACCTGCAATTCTCTTTATATGTATTATCTTTGGATAATATATATGTATTTATTTACACATTTAGAACATACAAAAGTATATTTTCCAATTTCCACTGTTTAAACAACAATTTATTTTTAATTATAAAATATTTCGAAGCTAGACTTACATTTTATATGTGTAATACTTTTAACAATTAATTTAAGACATTTATTGATGCAAATTATCTTTTATTTCTCGTTTTAGGTTGGAACTTTTTTAAATATTCAAGGCGCACATTGTCATCAATTATTGATACATATTCAAATCAATTATATAAAAATTACAGTTTTTTGTATTTAAAATAAGACAAATAAAGTTAAAACTTAATTGTTACTAAATAAAATTAAAAAAAAAACACAAAAATAAAGAAACAATGCAAGCCATTAAATGTGTTGTAGTTGGTGATGGTGCTGTCGGTAAAACATGCCTACTAATAAGCTATACTACAAATGCTTTTCCTGGTGAATATATACCAACTGTGTTCGATAATTATTCAGCAAATGTTATGGTTGATGCAAAACCTATTAATTTAGGTTTATGGGATACAGCTGGTCAAGAGGATTACGATCGTTTAAGACCATTATCATATCCTCAAACTGATGTATTTTTAATTTGCTTTTCATTGGTAAATCCTGCATCATTTGAAAATGTTAGAGCAAAATGGTATCCTGAAGTACGCCATCATTGTCCTAGTACACCAATTATATTGGTTGGTACTAAATTGGATTTAAGAGACGATAAAAATACTATAGAAAAATTGCGTGATAAAAAATTAGCACCAATAACATATCCACAGGGTTTGGCTATGGCGAAAGAAATTGGTGCCGTAAAATATTTGGAATGTTCAGCTTTAACACAAAAGGGTCTGAAAACAGTTTTTGACGAAGCTATCAGATCGGTACTATGTCCTGTTTTACAAGCAAAACCGAAACGTAAATGTACATTAATATAAAATTTATTCAAAATAAAGAATAAAATGTGTAAAGCCAATTAAAATTGAATTGAATTAAAAAAATAATCTTATAATAAAAATGGAAAAATTAAAGTAACTATACAAAATACACACAAAAAAAGGAAATAATTAGAAAAATAATTTCTTGAAATAAAATGAATAAATATTTATTCACAATATCTTATTCATAATATTTCTATAATAATGCAAAATTCATATATTGAACACATATTAAGAATAATTAAATAAACCGAAAACTCAAAATATTTGTAAAATTATTGCTCTGAAGTTGATACTAACATTTAAGAAAGTTTAAAAGAAAATTTTTATTTGTCAACAAAAAATATTAAAAAAAAAAAAAAAAAATGAGAAATTTTTTTATATAAACTTGCATATATCAAAAATTGCAAGTATTAAAACTTCAACACTACAAAAATTTAATTATATTATATATTAAATATATAGTAAAACAAAAATTAATTATTATATATTATACAGACCTTTCCAAATTTCATTATAGTCTCACTTTCATTTTTATTTTTAACCGATAATTTTTTTAAAATTTAATAAATAAAGTAATTTTTTGAATTTTAAGAAAAATCTTTTTAACTCAAATTAATTCATATGCTTGAAAATATATATATATATATATATATATATATATATATATGTGTGTGTATATATACATATATATATATAAATTATGAAACGTATCATAGATATAGTTGAACTTAACTCAAAATCTTATAAAACCTACTTAGCAGATAATCATGTAATATTAGTAAAGTTTTATCAATTATACTGTTAAATCAACAATTTACAATAAGTAAAAGTGATGGTGAGAACAATATTTGGAAAGGTTCAAAATAAACTATGGTCGTGAATTTTTTTGTAAATAAAATATTTTTTTTTTCTTTCATATTTGCGCTTTTATAACAGCATTTTATTAAATATTATGTTAATTATTAAAAAAAAAAAAAGAAAAGAAACGCAAAAATATAATTTTATTAAGCTAAAATTTTTTATTTTTATTCAAAAAGAAAAAATATATATTTGTAGGTAATAAAATTCAAATTTTTATAATTTTTAGTTAAAAACAAGTAGGATTAATTTTTCTTTGTTTTTTTAAAAAGGAATTTCTTTTATTGTTAAAAAACGCCTAATAATAAATAAACACAAATGTGTTTAATTTACACAAATATTTTTTCTTTAATAACGATATAATCAAGGTATATAATCAAGGTTTTTAATTATTTTTTTTTTCTATTGCATAAATATTTTTGAAATAGTAAAATCAATAATTTCTATAAGCTTTTTTAAAATTTTGCCACCATAAAAATGAAGTATAAACTAAGTTAAAATATGAGTTCTTTCAAATATTTATTCAAATCAAAATTAACAACTGCAAATTGGAATTGACATCTTCAAAGAATTTGTTATAATAATTTGTTATTGAAATGAATAAATATTTCTTAATGGTACATTAAGAGTAAAGAATTTCTAAATACTTTATATTAAATCTCGTATATCGGAGACGTATTTATTTTTTATTTAAAAGAATAACTTTCTTGTACAACTTTATATTATTTTAATTCTATTAATTTTTTAATTAAATCTAAATTATTTTATATATAGAATATAATATATAAAATAATTTTATATATTAAATTATTTTATATAATAAACACACGCTTTTCAAATTATTAATATTTTTGGTTCATTAGTTTAGTTTGATTAATTTTATCATTTTTTAGTTTTATTACTTTTCAAAATTGTTTTATATTGTTGAATAATTAGCAACTTTTCATATAAGTGGAAGGTATTAGAAACTGTAATAATTATATGTAAACTTTATTGAATCATTGAAATTTCCTTATTTTTATCAATGTACCAAAAATTCATGTCAAAATTGTAGACTTTAGTGAAAACTTTATTATAGAAAGGACTCGGTTCATTCATTTAAATGATAAGTTGGCCAGCACAAGATTATTGAAAAACCGTTATTGGACATATTTTAATAAAACGTTTATACAAAAACGTTATGACAAATTTATTGTTAAAAAATATTTCGAAAAAGAATATAACTACTGAAAAATTTAATTGATGAAATAGATATATGCATAGTAATAAATTAATTTTTTTTTCAATTTAAAACTGATTTGTTTATTAACAAAAAAAAAACAAATTTTAATAAAATGTTTTTTAGATTATATATACAAATGAATTTTTTTACATAAGGCATAATCACACCTTCAAAGTTTTTTTTTTAGTTATAACTACATTAAATTGGTTGTTTAGGAATTAAATATAAATATGTACACTTTATATGTATGTTTGTTTAGTTTTATATTTTATAATTTTATTTTTGTTTCTAAATTATCGTCAAAATTTCTTTGTTAAAATCTGATTATTTAAAATAATTAATTGTAAAATAAATATGTGTAGAAAAGGAAGTAAATTAAAAACGATTTGTTTCAATTCACATAAGCAAGCAAATTTTTGTATAATCTATAATAAATTGTATCTTAGTGATTACTAAACAAAAATAAAACATTTATATTACTTCAAAATCTTGGACTTTAAATATAATATTCAATTTCTTTTTTCCTCTATTTAAATACATATATTATATATATAATAATAGAAATTTTTAATATTACTTTTTTTTAGTATTTATGTTAATAATAATAAAATATTAACATAAATTATTAATAACATCTCATTTTCTTATAATAAATATATTTATATTTTTTTGAATTAGTTTCAATAATAATATTGTATCTGTAATTAAAAAGAAAAAGTTTATATTAATTACGGCATTTATTATTGTTAATTTTTCCTTTTTGAATATTTCAAAACAAAATTTTAATTAAAAATTTATAAAAATAAATACAAAGTTTTACCATCAACAAGATTAATTAAAACGATAGTAGTTAAAGTAATCATAAGGATTTATAGATTTTTAATTTTGATTTTCTATTTAATTGCTTTTTGAAGTTATAATAAAAATAAAACAAATTTTATGAGTTCTTAAACGTTTTTTTAACGAATTTTATTTTTAATAGTGAATTTTAACATATTTTCACAATATGTACATAATAATCAATATATTTTAATATTTATTCAACTACATAAATTTATTTTAAATGGTATAAATCATACAAACTTACGGCATAGTAAAATTTGCTGTAGATGAAATAATTTTCAAGTCCATTAAATTCTTCCTCAAGAAGTTTGAAGTCCTTCGCTACACTAAATTATATTTAGAATTCGATTTAATAAAAATATCTTGGTTCTTTAATTACAATGAAAAATAGGAAAATAAACTAAAATCAATACATATAAAGTGTTTCAGTTTTATAAAAACAAATTTTTTAAGTTTAAATATTAATCGTTATATATTTTCTTTAAATGATTTGGTCTAAATTTAAAAAAGAAAAAAAAATATTATATAAAATCTTACACATTCATATACATAAGTTCAACTTTTAAAATCTAATTAAATTACATTAGTTTTTAATTTTTTTTTTTTGTAGATATTTAAATAAAAAAATCGTTTGCCAGGACTAAATACACAAAATTTGCACAATTTTTGTTTTATCTTTCAATTTTCTATTTATCTTTAAATTAGAAAAAAATTGTTTTTTTTTTAATGTTCTTACAAAATAAATAAGCTAAAATGAAAGTGGGACTAAATTTCATATTGTCTTCTATTGTAGTTAATTAACGAAGAACTATTATCATTTTTTTACTTACTTTTTACATAATTTTACTAAAAATTTTATGTGCTGTAATTAATATGTAACATATTCATAATAAGTATATGAATTAAATTGTAATAATTTGTGTAAACCCACTAATTAACACCTTCATAATATATATTTTATACAGGTTCTTATAAAAATTACAAAAAAAATTTAACAAAATATAAATATACACTATTGATAGAAAAAGTTCAGTTAATTAAACTTCCTGAATGTTTTGGAATAGCAAATAACTGAAATAAAAAAACTTCCAAAATTATGTTAAGAAAAATTATATAAAAAAAAACTTAGATAAATGGATTTAAATGTTTTCTATAGTTTTTGATAATATCTGTTGTATCTAATGCGTATTATTTTTGCCAACTTTTTAATACTAAATTTTAGTTTTACATATATATATATATATATATATATATATATATATATATATATAATTATATATATATCTATTATATATTTTTTTTGCTCTATAATGAAAATAATAAAAAATAATCATTTTTATTTAATAAAAAAAGTTGTATTAATTATATTTTCTTGTTGTCTTTTATATTCTATATTATGTATATTCTAAAATTTATTATTTTTATTAAGAATTCTCTTTTAAAATTGATCTTAATTATTTCGTAAATCAATTGAACATTCTTTAAATCTTCGCGACATGATCTTGGCCTAAATTGTTAATATATCTGAATTGATAGGGTCTTCTAATATTTGTTGTTGTCATTATAGGTCAACAAATTATATTTTTTTAATATAAATTGAGATACAAAAGCATTACAAAATTTTACTACGCACTTTTGATCAAAACAAATTATGAACGTACATGTATACATAAAAAGGTGCCTATGTTCTTAAAAATTCTACTTATTTTAATTTTCAATAATTTAATAAAAATTTAAAGCTTTTTATATTTTGAGGTGAACCACTAAAATACCTTAGTGGTTTTCTTGATTTTTCCACTGTTATAATAAGACACTACATATTTGTAAAAGAAAATTTCCCAAATAATACTTTTTTTACGTTAACTGTATAATTTCAATTATTTTTCCTACTTATATTTATATAATATATTTTTATATTTTACAGGTTATTCATTAAATATTTAAATATATTCAATAATTAAAAAAAAAACAAACTGATTTCGTATGATATTCATACATAGTTCCATGGAAAACAATAGGACTAAATTTAGTTTTGAAAATTTTAATACAATTGAAGGTAACACAATCCGACATTTACGTTTATGAACTTTTGAGTAGTAAGACTTTTGATTTTTGTAAAATAATTTTAGTTTTTACAAATATTCAGGCTGCATTGATTTTAAATCGGTAGTTATTTTAACATAAAAATATTTCGTGCCCAATATTAAACATAATCGAAATTCTAAATTATTGTATTAATTAAAATTGATATATTATTGTTCACGATTATATTAATAAAAATTAAAAAATTAAAAACTAAAAATATAAAAATGCAATTTATAAAATGTGTTGTAGTTGGTGATGGTGCTGTTGGAAAAACATGCCTATTAATTAGTTATACAACAAATTCATTTCCTGGTGAATATATACCAACTGTATTTGACAATTATTCTACAAATGTTATGGTTGATGGTAAGCCAATTAGTCTTGGCTTATGGGATACAGCTGGTCAAGAGGATTACGATCGTTTAAGACCATTATCATATCCACAAACCGATGTATTTTTAATATGCTTTTCATTAGATAATCCAGCTTCATTTGAAAATGTAAGAGCGAAATGGTTTCCAGAAATACGTCATCATAAACCGAATACACCAATTATATTAGTTGGTACAAAATTAGATTTGAGAGATAATAAAGATGTTATAGAAAAATTACGTGTAAAAAAATTATCTCCAGTAGCTTATCCACAAGGTTTGGGAATGGCAAAAGATATCGGTGCTGTTAAATATTTAGAATGTTCAGCTTTAACACAAAAAGGTCTTAAAACAGTTTTTGATGAGGCGATCAGATCAGTTTTATGTCCTACAATGAATAAGAAAACTAAAAAAAATAAATGCACTTTATTTTAAGTTTATTTTAATCAAAAATTAATTTTGAGAATTTCGTAATATATTAAAAATGTATATTACTATTATAATAAATTAAGAATATTAAAAAAGTTTCAAATAATGACCATTTTAAATTTTAATTAATCATTATTTATTTTGTGTGCTTAATAACTAGATGATTACGAATTGCAAATGCAATTTTTTTCAATAATCAGACCAAATGCAAACATTTTGACGCAATGTTGGTAGATTTATGTTCAATCTAATAATTAGTAATCTAATTCATCTAATTATGTTCAATCTAACAGTTAATAATGTAACTGGGATGTGACAATAATGTATTCAGAATTTTATCAAGTATCTATATAATATATCTATAAATAAATAGATGATTAAAACTTTTTTAATATTCTTAGTTAATTTCGCACCATTTACTCCAATAACATTTGTTAATGAATATACGATAATAAAAAAAATAATACGATATATTACTTTATTTGAAGCTTGTTGGAGAGAAAATATGTATGTATTTATGAAAATGAATACGCAATGTTGCGGTTTCACAATTATAATTACTTCGAAAATCATATTACTTTGTATATAAAAATTTTTAATTAAAGAATTTATTAAAATGATATTTTTTTATAAAATTTAAATCAACCTGAAATAAATTGTTAATCTCATTTAATTTTTTTTTTAATACAATAATTGTAAACCGCCGAACATGATATTCAATTAAAGGAAATTTCATTATTTTAATGAATTAACAATCTTCAATACTTATATTATATATATTAAAAATACATAGGTTCATTTAATTAATCTCTGATTGAAATATATTAGAGATTCTATATTATAAAACTAATATAAATCATTCCAAATCATTTGAATTCTAGTTTTAAATTGCATATTGTTATAGTGTTAAAATCAATTCAATTTTAGCTATAAAAAATTATTAAATATATAAGGGTAAAATTAAAATATTATAGAGAAAACTATTAAGTTTTTATGTAAAATGGTGTAAGTTTATCTTACCATAGAACTATAGAGCTTATACCCCCAAATGTATGATTTAAATACTTTTGAGGTTATATTACATGAATGTAAATATGCTCTTATTTAATGCCTCTTCGGAAACAAATAACTGTTAAAAATATTCACTATTTTAAGTTGCTAGTTTTTTAGTGGGTTACAATTGCTAACTTTAAATTTTAAACAAATAAAGTTATGCTTATTATCTCAACAAATTGAAAAAGTCGGAAATTTAAAAGTTATAGAATTTATATGGCATATAAATGTACCCACAAATATAATATTAATAAATTTTAATATACCTGCTACCAAACTATTCCAAAAATAATATTTCACATTTTTTCTTAATCGTGGATCAATGAAAATTATTTAATAATCTATTTTTTTTTTTTTTAATTTTTAACATTTTAGAAATTTTTTTATTTTCCATATATAGTTGCTGACTATAACATAAACTATGACAATATTTTAACAAGATTATTTCCGAAGGAATTACTCAAATTTTTCTCTTTCTCTCTTTTGTACAATAATAATTTATTATACCTGATATGTAAATTTTGGAAAAAAAAAAGTGAAACTTCATTCTGGAATTTATTTTGAAAAAAAAAAAATCAAAATAAAATTCAAGTTCAAAGACATAATTTAAATTTTTGCAAAAAAATAAAAACATGATTGACGTCGAATTTTTTAAAATTTAAAAATTTGCAATTTTAAATTAATTGCTACTAAACAATTAATGTTGACAATTAAAATTGTAGATTATCCTTTTAAATATTTAAAATTCTTCTCAAATTAAACAATTTGAGAAAAAAATCGTCTATTAAATTTGTTCTATTTATTCGTACTATTATACCAAATTGTGTGTTTATTTCTCTCTCTTAAAGGATTATGCATATGAAGGTCTTACAACGTTCCTACAATCAATATCCTTCTAAGAGGAAAACATTATAGGTTTAATTATTTTTTCATTCTTATTTTGAATTCTGAAATTATTTGCGTTTTTATTGAAATTTTTCTTACTATCCTATAAGTATGCAACAAAAGTATGAACGAAAAAAATTCAAGATTTAATTATACGTAGTTTATTCGTTTGAATATAAATAGCCTAGCTAGAGCTATGTAATTTTTAACAAAATATTTAAAAAAAAGGATATTTTTATTTTATTTTATAATTTTTATCATAAGATGACAATTTATCTATATTAGAATTTAAAATATAACTACAATAAATGAAATTTTGTATAATATTTGCGTCAATACGAAAAATTTGACAATGCCACTAATTTCTCCAATATATAAAAATTTAATTGTGCAGAGCTAGTAGATATAGCTTAATTATAGCTACATGTACATGTATATATATGTATGTACTTATTGTGCATCCAAACCTTGTACATAACATAATAAAAACTTATTAAAAACTTATTTAACAATCATTAATTTTTATTCGAATGTATTTTGTGGTTTTTCTTTTTTGAAATTTAATTAAAAATTACATATAAAAAAAAATCGTAAATAAATTTATTAGTTTTTACCATTTTTTCACCTTTTATATATTTTTTTTTTTCAAAAAAGATATTTTTAATTTTTTCTTTAATTTATTGCAGCCACAGTAAAACTTCTTCTTTGATTTTATTTTACAATACGATGCAATATGTTAATCTTATATTGTACATATATATGCATGTTTGCATATATATAGATTTGTGTAGATATGCAAAATTAATCAAAAGAAACTATAAGTCATATAGGTTATTATGAAATGTCCCTCAAATGCATCATAAAATATCGCTATTTAAATGAATATAAATCACAAATAAAAAAAAAAATAATATATTTTTTCTGTTTAAGAAATAGAAATTTATGGCAAAAGTATTTCCAATTTTTTTCTCTGCTTTTGTTTTTTTTTTTTTTTTTAGAATTGGCCTTCATTTATATAACAAGATTTTAATGTGTTTGATATAAATTTTAGCAAAATGGAAACGGTGTTTTTATTTGTTTATTTTTATTCACTTTTCATGTCTAAAAAATTAGGGCATTGAAAATCTTGCAAAAATTTCCAGTTTAAAATTCATAAAAATTTTAAAAAACAAAACAAAGAAAAACATTTTTTCTTTTAATAATAATATTGAAGTTTTGGTTAAAAGTATTTTTTAATGTGATAATTTATATATTATGATTTTTTTAATTTTATTAAAAAAAGAAATCACACAAATTACTTAAATGATCGCAGCTGTTTCCTATTGTGAATTGATGCATTAATAAAATTCACGGGTGCATACTCAAAATATCAAATTATGAGATTAATTCTTCATTAAGTTTTGCATTATTTGGTTATTAAAATTTTTTCCAGATATTTTAAGATTCCGTGATTAAATTAAATAGAATTTATTAATTTTAAAAATCAATTGAATTTATTTTTTTATTTAAAGCAAACATTAACACTCAAAAGCTATTTAATTTTTAGTGTCAAATCATTTAAAAATATGAAAATTTCAGGCAAGCGAAAATAATTAAAAAAAAAAATTTAAAATTTTTGTTCATATGTCCTGTTTGTCGCTTATACGTAATTCATGACTGTCACGTCTATCAAGAGAGAAAAATTTAAAATTTCTATAACTTAATGGATACTGCTGCGGATTTTTATATTATCTGACATTTGTATATTTTTCACATTTTAAAAATTTCCTTCCAATTATGTATATAGATTTCCAAGATAATGGAGGAGCAAATTTTTGATTATTCACTATACGTGTAAAACATACTTCGCTTTTTGAATTCAGTAAACATGTTTTTAATGGACCATTCGAATTAACCGTTTGGATTCATATTTTCCTAGTAATGTAACAGGAAAGAGTCGAAAGTTTTAGTAGAAAAAAAATGTTAGTTTTTACAATAAAAAAAAATTCCTCTTGCTCGACTTTCCGGAAACCAGAAATATGTTCTATAAACATTTCTATATTAAATAAAGAACGTGGTATAACCATCTGATGAACTATTTAGAAAATAGAATATTATAACCATTAGTTTTTACAGTAGTATAACAGTATTTACGACAAATAATAAAAACTTTTCGAAAAGTAAAACAAGAAATATGTTCCTATATGCCTTAATAGAATTAAAAATGTATAACAACATACAATAAATCTATTTTTTTTGCTAGCAAAGTTTTTTTAATTTCCTACTTAATATACTACTCAATATACTCGCGTCATTATTATTATACATACGCACCATTTAGAAAATAACAAATATTTTGCTATATTATAAATATTTTGCTATGCTATATAACAGCCGAATGAATTTTTGAAATTGGACACCGCCACAAGGTTGGCATCACAGTTAAGTAAAAGTAATAAGGTTGGTACTCGTATATAATTTATGTGTGAATTAATTTCATTTATAAAAGTAATAATCTGATCCAATTTTTGATATTTTGATCCTACAATATAATTAAATTATTTGAGCGTCATGAATGTAAATGGTTTGGCACTTTAATATGTCATAATATAATTACTTTAATTGCCGCATCAAATGAACAAATTGTATAAAAAATATTTTTTGTAAAAGAAAAATTTCATTACCAATTCGTGTGAAAAAATTTATCTAAATAATTTTGGAAAATAAAATTTTTGATAATAAAATAAAATTGAAAATCTATAAAAAAATTTTTAATGTTTTTGTTTTTTTATTTTAACAATATTATTTATCATTTTATATCGGCGTCACCAAAAACTAAATGAAAACTAAAAATTTTATGTTATTGCAAAACTATTAATTTTATATCTTCTATAAATCATAAAATTAATTAACATATTCATAAATAATTCAGTAATACTATATAAAATAACCATAAAATGATATAGAAACATAATTTTTTATTAAATTATAAACTCTTTTGGTTTAATAATTTTTATTAATCAATATTAAATTTAACTAAACGTTCATTAAAATGTCATATTATTGGCGTTGTATCTCATTTTAATTGAATTAATGTTATTTTTTTTTTATTACTTTGCTTATATAATTATTTAAAATTATTTTGTGGAACATAAAAAAAATTTACTTTTGTTTTAATTCAATACACTCGTTTAAATTAATCCATTTGTGTTTTAAGACAATAAAAATTTCACTGAAATAATTAAAAAATAAATATTGTAAACTCGTAAACGTATATAGATGGCGTGTATGTAGACTTCTATAACATAGACAGTAATACTTCGATAAATGAATTTTTAATTCAACAGCTGTTTCCTTTCAATTACGCATCAATTTTGAAAAACTTTAAGTATTTACAAAAGCATTTACAATTTAAATTATTTTCGAAGTTGATTAAGTCAAAAATTTGGAAGGGGGGGGGGGGGTGTCGTAAAATAATCAATAGAGAACAAAATTGTAAACAGTGTATAACAGTTTATATCAAGTATGCAGTTCTTGGAATAAACTCATGAATTTTGTTGAATATGTTTGTTCGTTCCCTTAAAGCTTTAAATTATATCTGCATTAGTCTGTTTACATATTATATGTAACATCATACATAAATAAATAAAAAAATTTAAAAAATTTGAATAATTTCCAATACTTAAAGTTATTAAGAAGTTTTATGAACTTCGACAAATTAATTCCTTCATAATATTCTCTTATTATTCAGAATAGCTTTCTAATTAAATGATATTTTGCACAAACATTCTTTTGAACAACAAACCTACATATATGTACATTTAAAAATTAAGTATTGGACGTTTAATTTATCATATAAAAATGTGAAGCCATCTACCAGAAAAAATGTACGAAATTATTCTTTTATAACTATCGTAAACAGAGTATTACACTAAATTAGCTCAATAAACAAGCGCTTAGATTATTAAACAATTATTATGTAGCTTGAAATTATGGCGAATAAGTCCTATAATTATGGTTTTAGTATAAGACCTACAGTTAGAAAGTTAACTCTTAACAGCTAAGGTCTCAGATGCAAAATGATTTTAATATAAACAATATTTTCATATAACTAATTGCCATAGTTTAATAATTTTAAAAATCAACAACTTAAAGCATTTACATTTTCTCTAATCCTATATAAAAATCCAAAAATAAAAAAAAAATGTTAAAATCATATACACTTGCATATGCAAAAGTTAATTGTGGTAATTCCAAATATAAAACTAGATCCTTACAATAAACAAAAATCGTGAATAAAGAAGCCATAATTTTTTTTTAAATGGCGTGAAGTAAAGCTCTACTAAAGTTTACCAATTAAATTAAGTGAAAAGTTATATTTGTTATACTAATATAGTATATTATGTAATATACAGATATAATAAAAGAACTGCAAATGCAAAAATCAAATAGTTATAACCAAGTACAAAAATAAAAGCTCAAATTTTCAATATACTTTAAAAATAATCAACAAATTTATTTAATTAAATTAAATTACACAATTTAAAGCAGGAAAACTTTTTTTCAAAAGTATAACAAATTAATTTGTAATAATTCCATTTTAAACTTTATTTGGTGGTAGATATGAAGCTGACGTTGCTCTAGCAATATTACTGCCAGCACTAATAAAATTATCACCTCCGGAAATAACAAAACCATTTCCACCACCAGATACATGACCACCACTGCTGAAACCACCGTTACTGAAACCACCATTACTGAAACCGCCATTACCACCAGAATGTCCACCAACATGTCCAACATCGAAAGCACCAACAACTGATGATACTGGAGCAAAACCTTCATCCGAAACATGCGTAGAACCACCGAGACTTTCATATTGAGATTGAATTGTTTGTTGAGCATGTTGAGCTTCTTCTGGTGTCTTATATTTAACAAAGAATACTTCTGGTTTAGCTGGATGATGTGGAACATTAGAAATAGCTTGACGAATTTCAGAAACATCATTTTTCTTGCTTAATACATAAATAGCTGTTTTTTCTTCATTAATGGCTTGAGCAGTTTGTGCTGCTATCGTTTTAACAGATTGATGTGGTGCTTTAATAAATACAACATTATAATGTCTATGTTGTTGTTCAGATGAATTATCTTCGAAAACTTCTTCATCTGGTTCTTCAGGGGCTGAATGCAAATAAACATGTTTTGATATTATTGGTGGTAAAACACGTCTTTGTGTATGTGGACGTGCTCTATGTGCAGCTGCAACACTACTTGCTGAAGGAAGAGCTGGTGCAGGATTAAATGAATTGAAAGCAAGTGAACTACCACCTACACCTGAGCTTCCACCAGAATACTGTACACCACCACCGAATGAGCCACCTACTGAATACTGTTGTTGAAAATTTGCTGCAGATCCAACTGAATATGATGGTCCATTATAATTGTATCCTTGTGGTGCTGCAACAGCAATTGCAAATATGCAACTTGTTATCTATACATTTAAATAACGGGAAAAAAACATTTAAATACCTTAATTATTCTGCTCTGAATAATGTTTTTTAATTAATATAGTTACCAAAAAAATTCGCATTTTCAGTTTTTGGAGAAGATTATTGCTCTTAGATGGTTAAAATGTTACTAATAGTATTATGTGCCATTCATAGATTATTTATACTTTTTTTATTGTTCTCTTGACACACAAAATATAAAAATGGTAGCATCTGTGATATTCAAAACCATGATGATATTTAGCATGTCGATGTCTTAAATAGGAATCATAAAAATGTGAAATGATGCTAAAGAAGATTGGGAAAATTATACTTTTTTTTTAAGTATTGAAGATTTATTGGTATAATTGGTAGTCTCAATGATGCAAAATTTATAATTAATTTAATGATCAAATCTGCAAACAAATAAATAATTTTGCTTTAAATTTCTCCAAAATTTGGATACATTACATGCATATATGTGCATATTAATAGTTCATATTTGAAGACAACAATAGCCGTTCATTTTTCATTTTACACGAGATCAATTAGGCGTTACAATAGGTTCATTGTTCCTTAATCAACAAATCATTATTATGTGAAAAAATAAATTTAAAAGTTTCTGGATGTCAATTGAGTTAAGCAATTTTATGATTCCCATTTTTGTCATAAATGACAAAAATGTGAAATATTGCAATATAGATATGAGCGTTGCAGATAACCGTTTGAATATGAATTTAACTGTTACAAGAGAAAATTAAATGAGTATAAATAATCAGCGATTGCTACGTAATATTATTAGTTACATTTTAACTATCTGAAAGAAATCAACTTGATCAAGTTTAAAATGCAAAACTTTTTGGTAATTAATGGAATAATTAAAGTTGTTTTTTGAAAATTTATTATCAAGTTATTTTTTATCATGTTTTGTTGCAGATAATTAGCTGCATTCTTACAGTGGTTGTAGCAGCACCACAAGGATACGACTATAATGGACCATCATATGCAATTGGTTCAGCAACAAATATTCAACAACAATATTCAGTAGGTGGCTCATTCGGTGGTGGTGTACAGTATTCTGGTGGTAGCTCTGGTGTAGGTGGTAGCTCCCATGTTTTCAATTCCTTTAATCCTGCTCCAGCTCTCCCTTCGGCAAGTAGTGTAGCAGCTATACATAGAGCACGTCCACATTCTCAAAGACGTGTTCTACCACCAATAATATCAAAACATGTTTATTTGCATTCAGCCCCGGAAGAACCTGATGAAGAAGTTTTCGAAGATAATTCTTCAGAACAACAACATAAACATTACAATGTTGTGTTTATTAAAGCACCACATCAATCTGTTAAAACAATTGCAACACAAACTGCTCAAGCCCTCAATGAAGAAAAAACAGCTATTTATGTATTGAGCAAGAAAAATGATGTTTCTGAAATTCGTCAAGCTATTTCTAATGTTCCACACCATCCAGCTAAACCAGAAGTATTCTTTGTCAAATATAGAACCCCACAAGAAGCACAACATGCTCAACAAACAATCCAATCTCAGTATGAAAGTCTCGGTGGTTCTACTCATATTTCGGATGAAGGCTTTGCTCCTGTGTCATCAGTTGTTGGTGCTTTTGATGGTGGAAATTCTGGTGGTTTCAGTAGTGGTGGTCATGTATCTGGTGGTGGAAATGGATTCGTAGTTTCCGGAGGTGATAGTTTTGTAGGATCAGGAAGCAATGTTGCTGGTTCAGTTGCCGCATCATATTTACCACCAAACAAAGCCTAATATTTCTTTGGCAATTTGATTTGCAGCATTTCTTTATGCAATTTATATTTGAACAAAAAAAAAAGAAGTTTTGTTATTTGAAATCGTATTACTTAATATGTTGAATAAATGAAATTTGTTGATTATTTCTAAAGGACGATTTTTTTTACTGCAGGCAAAGCACATTTTGCAATATTATATAATTCTAATTTCAGATTTTAAAAGTAATTTAATTTTTATTAACAGGTGGTATTTTATACTTGTTTAAACTTGGAAGTTTCACTATGTTTAATTTCGTTTTAGTTGATTTAAAAATCGAGCACCAAAGCCTCATGAGATTTCAAAGTTTTGTTTAAACAGGCCACTGGAAATATTTTTAAAAGAATATCCACAGACTGTTACCGCTTTATAGGTAAACTGCTATGTTCACGAATGAACAAAATTCTTTGCATCCTGGCAATGTTCAAAGCTTGACAGACTTCTAGAAACTGGCCGTTAAAGTTAATATTGATTATTTTTTCTTTACGTAAATTTTTGAGCACATCCCGGTTCCTTTATAAGAAATACGTATGTGATTTAATCTGATTGTTAAAATTTAAAAAAATCTCACTAAATCATATACGTGCACCTTCTTGTAAATATCGAAACTCCTCTAATTATATTCTTCTCAAATTTTGGGATAATATACTATGACACTTTTAAAAACTTTACTTTGTCAAGAAATGAACGTTGCATCTTTATCTTGGCTTAGTACATTCATTGCCTTCGTGAACTGTAGTATTGATCTCAATAAATCATACGAAAAATTTGTAAAAGGAAATGAATATTAACCCATTCCGGGCAAAATTTTGATTTTAAATATATTTTAACATTTGGTTATGGTAATGAATCTCTAAATGCGAGCAAATAAGCACTATTAATTGTTTTTTTTTCTAAATTTTAATTGGAAAATGGTTTTTTGAAGTGGTATCGTCAGGTTGCCACTAAGCCAGTACGCATTTTAATTTTTTTTATAATATTTCGAAATAGTTTTTTATCAGTTAAACATAAGGGTACTTTGCACACTTTGCGGTACCAACGTGTTCTGTGTTGTTATGCCTTGGAATTGCAGAGCGTGCATCTCCTTGGCGCCCCATAAATGGCCAGATAGGCGGATTAGTCAAACCTTCTTTCAGATGAAACGTATGGTTTGAAATTGTTAGGTATCCTTTCTATTAAAGGACAGACTTCCCTACGAGCTTCTGGCACAGAACCTAATAGTCACCTGACAATAGCGAGTCGAAAACTTTTGAAGTCCATTGTATTTCCGTCCCATCTAGATTTATATACGAGTATCATATGAGAATTTACCACAAAGATATCAACAAAATGTCAAAATGTCCAGTGCCACCATTTTATACTGTCCCTCTAATATTCAAATTCGGAAAACGTTCAATTCAATCACCTTTGAGAATGTTTAAAGAAGAGTTTCAAAAGATTCTCACGTTACCAGTAAGTGTGAAAGGGTTAAAAAGAAATTTATAGTTTTTTATATTGGTAAATAACACTCGAACTCTTTTTTATTTTGCTCAATAACTCTCGAATTTTTAATGGGCTCCATATCAATATTTCAAATCGATGTTTTGTTCACAGAGTCTAGATATAATTAATTTAGAGAAGGCTGCAATTTATTAACAAGGGTCTATATAGCCGTATATAGTAATGGTCTAAAGCGAAAAAAAAACTGTGTAAAGTGTATATTAGCATTTTTTATTATTATTTTATTATTATTATTATTTTATTATTATTTGCGGCACTATATTCAATAACAAGTTTTCATTTATTAACAACCCTATTAATAGCTGTTAGCTAGTCAGAATTTAAAAAAAATTAACACATGAAATGAAAAATTATTGCTGTTACTTTCAGGGCATCAGACCACTTGATGAATTTAAATGTCCGGTTTATAGATGAAAAGTAATATCAAAACAAGTTGCCTTTTCTTTAAGTCTTTCCATGACTTTTGTTCAACTAGCCATTTAAGAATTAAGCCGATGTAAAGCCTTTAAAAGAATTTTTAAGGAGAATTAAAATTGACAAAATTTTAAGCACTATATTAATAATATTCGCGTTAGGTGTATAGGAAAAATTTTAGAAATTTTGATTTTGCTGAACCTTAGACTTCACTTACTAAAATTTTGCTGAAAAAGAATTCATTAACTTTTTAAGACCTCCTTTTGCAGTTTAGAAAATAAAACCGAGGAAATGAATTCAGTGTTGGCAAAATCAACTCCTTATTTAACTAATTTTATAATTAGTAAAAAAAATCACCAAAAAATTTGCACACATGTAAGTACAGAATAAAAATTCTGAAGTTGTTAAAAAAAATAAGGCTAAAATAATTTCCTTAATTTGTTTTAGACTTCTTTTTAGTTAAGTATAGCAGAAAATAAAATAGAATACGTTCTTAAGAATGCGATAAAATAAATCTTAAAATTTTGCATGAAACAGTATTGTATTTTTCATAATCTAGCCGAATTCAGCTAACCAAAAATTCTAGCATCTGTGCAAAATTTTACATCTTCATCTCAAAGTAGCACTTCAATAATAGAATGGCGAACGGTTGGACATAACTGAATCGACTTAGAATTCGATTCTGGCCAAGAATATATTATATGTACTTTATGAGCTCGCAAATGTTTCCTTCTTGGTATTACATGCTTAAGTATATTGTATAAATTACACAGGAGGTTCGTTCAATATTACTAGTTTTGAGGTAAGATTGTATCTGATGCAATTCTGTCAAAATGCATTTAATACATATTATATTAATTACTCTTGTGACTTCAGTAAAAATTTCTCGCGTTACAGAAAATAATTTTGAAACACATGAAGTTGCCTCTTAAGGTTTTCTGGTAAAATGACGTGTTTTGGTAAATATTTTCAAGTTTCAATCATAAATTAGTTTATTGTCAATATTTCTTATAGCATAATATTTCTTATTATATTAATAAATATATATATGTACTCGTATGTATATGTATTTTCATATGAAAAGGAAATTTTAAACTTGTATAGAAAACTTAAGTGTTATATAAAAATGAATGTTACCTTCAAAATATTTTGACATTTTCATTATCTTATTGGCGATCAATATATTGATTGCATATAATGTCATTAAAAAAGGTTTATAGCACAGTTTTATTCACTCATATACAAATATGATGTAGAAGATTGAAAGAAAAGATTATCGTCGGTCTTACAGACTTCTTTTAATTTGCAATTAATTTAAATTGTAATTTTCTTTTAAATACAAAAATTAAAATAATGAAAGAAATGTTTGCTTAATCGTTACGCATTCGGCATTGGTTATGATCTTAACATTAATGCACTGTAAAGTTTAATACAGAAGAATATTATTGATCTTCAAACACTAAACGTAAATTTAGAAAAAAATTTTGATACAATTGCTTTCAAAACAGTTCCAAAACAATTTGAAAACGTGAAATAATCGTGGAAAAAAAGGCAGAAGCAAATTTTTATAGAAAACAGGATATCAAGTGAAGATTAAAATATTTCTCATAAGGAACAAGTGTGTCTTCAACACCCAAGATAATTTCATAAAATCATTATAATTTTAGCAATTGATGATTTCATTACATTTCGCATTACATAAGGCTCTAGCGGTTTAAGATATTAAGTATGATTTAAATTTTAAATAATCAAAATGCTTGTTTAAAAACATAAGCCATAATAAACAATGGTTTAACATAAGCCTAATCGGATTTTTCTCCAATTTAAACTACTGTTTTGACCGCAATGATTAAATGTTTTTACTAAATCTCTTGTATTTTGATATATTTAGCAAAATATGTGAATAGTAAAACATAATTGACAAAATAAAGAAAAAAGAAATACAAGACCACCATATAAGACGGTTTTCATGAACTATAACAAGCAACAGACTATCATCTGATAATTTTCGAAATTGTTCTTTTTATGAACTGAAACAATTTTTCAATGTACATCTTCCTTTTATGAAACCAACTAATACTATATATATTATGTATGTTACTATCATAAACTTTATGTTTTATTAGGTGCAAAAAATTAACACAAAATAATTTATATTATCTATTAAAAGTGAAATTGGTATAAATAACCGTTATTCAAAATACACTTCAGTAGTATCAACTTAACAATCTAATGAAAATCATCAATTTTTCTAAATTCAGAATGCAAAACTTTTTGGTAATCAAAAATATTTTAATTTTTACGTCATCAAATTCAATATCAATCTCTTTTTTATTTGGATTACAGTTAGCAAGTTGCATTTTTGCCATCGCTTTAGCAGCACCACAATATAATTATAATGTACCACAATATGGCGGTATTTCATCAGGCAGCTCATTTAGTAGTATATCTAGCGGTTCATTCGGTGGTTCATCTGGTGGTTCATTTGGTGGTTCTTTTGGTGGTGGAGAAATAGGTAATGCACATGCTTTTAACTTATTCAATCCTGCACCAGCATTACCATCTGCAAGCAGTGTTGCAGCAGCTCACAGAGCACGTCCACAACATCAAAGACGTGTTTTACCACCAATTGTATCAAAACACATTTTCTATCATTCAGCTCCAGAAGAACCAGATGAAGAAGTTTATGAAGATAATTCTACACAACAAGAACGTAAACACTATAATGTTGTCTTTATTAAAGCACCACATCAATCTGTTAAAACAATTGCAACTCAAACCGCTCAAGCTCTTAATGAAGAAAAAACTGCTATCTATGTATTGAGCAAGAAGAATGATGTTTCAGAAATTCGTCAAGCTCTTGCCGATGCACCACATCATCCAAATAAACCCGAAGTATTCTTCGTTAAATATAGAACCCCAGAAGAAGCACAACACGCTCAACAAACAATTCAATCGCAATATGAAACACTTGGTGGTTCTACTCATGTTTCTGATGAAGGTTATGCTCCAGTATCATCAGTTGTTGGTGCCTTTGGTGGTGGTCATGGTGGTAGTGCTGGATTTAGTGGTGGACATGGAGGAAGTGGTGGTTTTGGAGGTGGCTTCATTAGTTCAGGTGGTGGTAATTTTATTGGCTCAAGTAGCAATACCTATGGCAGTTCAGTTGCTGCTTCATATTTACCACCCAACAAAGTATAAATACAATTTAATTTTTTTGTGAATTAATTTTGTTATTCGAAATTTATGCTTATCAATTAAATAATAAAAGTTGTTATTGATTATCCGAAATATCATGTATTTTATATTCAACAAAAATTGCATAATAAGTGCATATAAACAGTAACTGCAGAATGATATCTAAGTAAACTTAACATTTAAATCTGATGAATTTCAATGTTCTTTAAAAAAATAGTTTGGAGCTGTGGATTTACTTAACTTAGCATAATTACTACTTAATCTAGCATATGTACTTCAGTGAATGTAACTTTATTCTTATACATTACCGGCTTGAGGCTTGGTTTTAAATTGCGGTCACGTTTTTAAAATTAAAGTTAAACACGAAAAAGTAAATATTGTAGGATAACTACAATGTTTTTATGTTTATTAAGAAATTTTAAGAAACAATGTTTAATTCAATGTTTATGTCTGTGTTTATTAAGAAATTTTAAGAAACTCAGATTTTCACAGTAAGTATGCGTTTATGCATCTAGATGCATTTTTTTTAAAATACTGTAAGAAAAAAGCTTTACACAAGTTTCAAATTTGAATTTTTAGAATTTCTAAATAAAATCAATGTCCTTTTAATCACGATTAAAGCGTACATGCATTATAAAATTCAAAATTTGGCAAGTTTAGAATTTCTCGGAATTAGTTGGTGATTGGTGAATGACCCATTGCATTGCAAAAAATTTAATTTTCAAAGCTTTTGTTGTTTTAAATTTGAAAATAAAAAATTCGATAGAAGACTGTTAATTAAAATAATAATATGGAAATTTTATTATTTTTGAAATTGTGCAGCAATTTTTTGAGTTGTTATTTTGATTATGTTTCTCAGAAACCATTCTTAGCTCATATATATTGTACATTTACCCCTATAGAAAGCAATTTGACTTTGTTCAGCTGCACATAAATCGGACATGTTGTTCTTGCACATAAATCGGCCATTTATTGCTTTGAAAAATTCCATCTTGAATGAACAAAACCCCCATTTCTCGTTCTTTTTCAAAATTAAGCAAAAAGATTAACTAAATTTTTCAAAGTTTTGAATTAAAATCATTAAAGTAGATTTGCAAATATTTGTTTCGGATTTAAACATTACTGCCAATACTATTTTTTTTCCTTACTCCACTTGGCTACATTAGAGCCACTTTTAAGAGTCAAGCTTCAGTTTCAAATGTCAATGAGTTAACTATTCAATGACGAGTCTGCCATAGTTTTTTCTTTATATTAAATGTGAAATATTTTTGATATTTATTGTTCATATTTAAATAAATCCATTCGCCATACACAATTTACGAAATGCTGGCAAATCCGGCAACTCAAGAGAATTTGAATTTGGTTGTTTGTAATATTTCCTATTGCTTCCTTGTGCTTTTAAGATATTCATCAGTTTTGCATACATTGGATTGCTGAAATGTATTTAAATCCCGTCTAAAGCATACCATTAAATTTATGTGTTTGTATCTTGTAAACCTCCACTGAAAATAATATCCAAAAAATAATAAAGAAACACAACGCTTTGTATGGAACTATCATTTCACAATAAGTATAAGAATGGAGTAGCAAATAAAAACTTAGATTTACATATCGCCGGCTGAATTCTTAAGTGTTCAATTTTAATAGAGTTGCAATTGCGTTTATTAAACTAAATCCGATATAGTTTTTGTATTGCATAATATTAGTATGCAAGAAAAATATAATTTTTCTATTACTTTACTAGAATTCGATTCGAAATGCAAACTAAAAGCATTTTAAAGTGATTTGGCAATAAGAAAATGTGTACACCATATTGAACTTGGAAAATTTGACTGAAATTTGCATTTTAAGGAGATGAAGTTTTTGATCTCCGCAAATACGCTCCTTCTATTTCTAACTTCTATATTTTCAATGATCCACCCAAGAATTTCCCAATTATTAGAAATTCCGAGCAATTTGAAACGATTTGAAGGACTTTCAATTCTTGATTCATTCATAGTCTAATTTGGCTCAAAAGAAATGTCTTATATGAATTTTATGGAGAATTTCTAAATTTCGAAATTTTGTATGTTTAAGTTTTTTAATGGTTTTTGACTTAGCTCTATTTTGTGTTTTAAAATTAATTCCAATATTATTTCTACAAAGCCTCTCTTAAGTGATAAAAGGTGAAATTGATTAACCTTGAGAGTCTACTACATTATTAATTAACATGCATACATACACATGTCATTATGTTGAACAAATTAATGTTTAGAAAGTGTTTAGCAAGCAATTATAGTAATATGTCCCTAAATAATGCCATTGTCAAAATGAAATTAAAAAGGCAAATAAAATAAAAAGAAAGAAAAAAATTAAATTCGCAGTTTCAATTTGCCTTCGAACAAATAAAAACAAGTATTAACAAGTATGATCACAATATAATTTTTAAAACTGTTCTTTTTGTGAAATAAAACCGTTTTTTTTTTATATGTACATACACTTATACCTCTTCCTTTTATGAATCTCACATTGGATTAATGTACGTTACACATGTATGCTACTTATATGTGCATACAAATACACAATATTGCCAAATTAAAATTGGCGTCATAAACTCTATTTTTATTAGATGAAAAAGATTAATGCAAAATTGCAATACCGAGTAAAAGTGAATTTGGTATAAATAACCGTTATTCAAAATACACTTCAGTAGTATCAACTTAACTATCTAAGAAAATAATCAACTTTTCTAAATTCAGAATGCAAAACTTTTTGGTAATCAAAAATATTTTAATTTTTACGTCATCAAATTCAATATCAATCTCTTTTTTATTTGGATTACAGTTAGCAAGTTGCATTTTTGCCATCGCTTTAGCTGCACCACAATATAATTATAATGTACCACAATATGGCGGTATTTCATCAGGCAGCTCATTTAGTAGTGCATCTAGCGGTTCATTCGGTGGTTCATCTGGTGGTTCATTTGGTGGTTCTTTTGGTGGTGGAGAAATAGGTAATGTACATGCTTTTAACTCATTTAATCCTGCACCAGCACTACCTTCAGCAAGTAGTGTTGCAGCAACATATAAAACACGTCCACAACATCAAAGACGTATTTTACCGCCAATAGTATCGAAAAGTGTTTATTATCATGCTGCTCCAGAAGAACCAGATGAAGAAATTTACGAAGATAATTCTACACAACAAGAACGTAAACACTATAATGTTGTCTTTATTAAAGCACCACATCAATCCGTCAAAACAATTGCAACTCAAACCGCTCAAGCTCTTAATGAAGAAAAGACAGCTATTTATGTATTAAGCAAGAAAAATGATATTTCTGAAGTTCGTCAAGCTATTGCTGATGTACCACATCATCCAAATAAACCAGAAGTATTCTTCGTTAAATACAAGACTCCAGAAGAAGCAGAACATGCTCAACAAACAATTCAATCTCAGTATGATATTCTTGGTGGTTCTACTCATGTTTCGAATGAAGGTTATGCTCCAGTGTCATCAGTTATTGGTGCTTTTGGTGGTGGATTTAATGGAAATGTTGGACTTAGCGGTGGGCATGGTGGATTCAGTGTTAGTTCTGGTGGTGGAAATTTCATTGGATCCAGTAGCCTTTATGCTAACTCTGTTGCCGCTTCATATTTACCACCAAACAAAGTATAAGTAGAAAATACTAACTGCAATATTAATGATTTTATATTATAATTTTGTTGTTTGAAATAAATTTTGGCCTTCATTATTTTAAAATCGAAATCATTTTATTTAAAAATAATTTTTATATCAGATTTATTACAAGTAGCATGAAGATATGTATTTGAAGAATTGTGAATGTTTCTACTTAAATTTCTAAAGCAGAAGAATGTATAAAAGCATAAAGATTCCTCCTCATTCCTACGGTATAATAATTTGCTTTACTATCTTTTCTTCGCATTTCATGCTATTTTCTAATATTATATTCAAAGTTTTTTAGATCTACTTTGAAAATACCAAGTGGATTTATGGAAATTCGGAGAACATTTAAAAAAATCTTTGAAAACTTGCAAAATTTTAGGTTTTAGGGGGAACAATAATTAAACTATGTTATAGAGATAAAGATATGAAAGCTATAAGAACTCAAAAAATCAAAAATTCATTTCGTTTGGTTGTACAGGTACAAGTATTTATAAAATACAGGAGAAAAATTGCATTCATCAGATTGTTTTTCCTAATAAATACATAACATAATTAAAGTTATTAATACACAAATCTTGATTTTTAAGTTTTATTTATGAATTATAGAATAATTTTATTAACCCTATATTAAGTTTCGATTTATAAGTTCCTCTTATGTAAATTATGCATGTATACTTATTCTATATCAGATTAATATTGATGCCCAAAATGCGGCTATCAATTTACCTAGCAATTCGGTTCTTTAAGAAAGAACCGAATTCAGAGCATCCTTACCAATATCAAGACCAAAATAATTAGAGTTTAAATTGACGGCACGCAACATCCTGGTCAACGGCTCATTCCTACCATAACCCGTAATGTACGAACATTGAAAAGCTCTACCGACCTCAAGTTGTTTGAATTCTCTCTTAAAGACACTTTTTCCAATAAAAACGGTGAAACAACGATCTAGTTGAAGAATAAAAACAACGTATAATGAATAATTTTTCTGCCTTTAACTCGTTCCTTTGATTACGTCATCCATCTGTTCTGCAGTTGCATGAAGAAACTTCCAACGTATTCATAGTAATTTTATATTGAACTTTACAAAGAAATTATAAAATTTTGACTAAAATCATTATTTCACCAAATAAATACCGAATTTCTAAAACAATAGAAAAATAACTAATGTCAATATTAACTTGTGCACAAAATTTAACTTTTGATGACCCTTTTCTTTTCAAAATATAGCCATCGTAAAAAGTGTTTATTGATCTACCACAAACGATAACTTCACAAACTGATGATCGCCTCACTCGGAAAGGATCTTCTCCCACAATTTTAGATTGAATTAAGAACTTATAATGTAGGCGGAGTAATATGATATAATTGCTTATTTTCCCTATCTGCTTCTGCTTTTCTTTGCCCCAATTATAATTTGAAAACGTGTGTAACTATTTTCACCAAATTTTGGTAAAACATTTAGAATCCGGATAAAATCACATATATAGAATTATTTTAATATAATTTCCGTTCAACTTTTAAAATATTGTGGCTCTACCTTATACAAATTTCTAAGAGTTCGAATTAAATATAAACAGGATTATTTATAGAACCACTACTCTCAAGAAGAAATATTTTAACAATCTAATAAAACAAAAGTTTTAGTTTGTGTACTATCACTAACACATTAAAATAATTTGTATAGGAAATCATCAGGAAAAATTGCAGTCAACATTCTTAATGTGATCAAAGTAGTATAAATTTTTGATTCTCTCACAACTCATGAATAAATTTATTCCTATACAAGTATCCACAACAATCTTCATTTTTCAAGTTTAACTTCTTGTTTTAAGCTTGCAAATTCTTCAGCTTGATTTAAGTTGAACGAGTTATCACTTAATTTTTAAAACTGGCAATTGAATTTCATGAAAGAAACTTAAAATAATTATCTGTATAGCAATCTTGTCGCAAGAATACCAAGAATACATTTCAAATTAATAAAAGGTTCTTCAATAAACTCTAAGATTTTTCCCGAAAATTTTTAATTGTGAAGTAACATTAAAGCATTTTTCAATAATTATACTTACGAGATCAATTTGGAAATTTCGGTTGATATTAATTCATATTAGCACAACTAGTTCTTTAATTTAAATGTGCCAGATTGCAAAAAAAAAAATTTGCTTATATGAAAAGAAATTTTAAGATATTTTATGCAATTTTGTATTTTGATAAAAAAAAACTCGTATTTTCGAATTTTATTACTAGGAAAAAGTGTTACACATAAAAACTTTTAAGAAACATGTTTGACAAGGTCAAAATTTTTATTTGAATTAAAAGTTTGGTCTACTATAAACATTCAATTATAATAGCAATTTTTTGGTTAATTACAAATTAATTATTAGTTGAAGCAGAAAAGTATTATAATTCATTAATTTGTTATAAAAACTGTTATAAATTCTTTAAAAAAAAAAATTGAACTTTGATTTAAAATAAACTTTAATCGAGATCATAAGTTTTATACAAAATTCATATATGGTTAGCCAAAAAGTGTTATAATAGTCAAAACAATGAATAGTTCGCGAACAATAAAATGTGAAATTTTAAGATTAATTTTGAATTTCTTTCTTTTATACATATGAGAGTATGTATGTATATTTGTGGAATACTCATCTTCTCTTTTTTTTTTTATAGAAAAAAAAAAGACATTAATTTTCCTAAATATTATTTCCATTCACTATTTCATAAAAATTTATAGCTTCTTTTTATGCAAGGCTATTTTTCTACAGGCTGTTTGCTACATTTCCCTAATATAGGTATCACATTGCATAACTCTCATTATATACAAGATTATTTTATAGGTGTGACAAAATTAATAGAAAAACGATTTATGTATCGTTATAATTAAAAGCAAATTTAGTATAAATAACGATTGTGCAAAAGAATTTGCAATAGTAATATTTTAGCTATCTAAAGAAAATCATCAAATCTTCTTGAATCATCCAGAATGCGAAGCTTTTCGGTAATTAATATGGTGGAAAATTAATAAAATTTAATTTTTTGTAAAAATAAAATTATTAATTTTAAATAATTAACAAAAAAAAAATTTTCTGTTTGGATTACTTTTGGATTATACAGTTAATATGTTGCATTTTTGCAACTGCTTTAGCAGCACCACAATATAATTATGGAATTGGCTCATCCGGTTCATCAGGTGGATTTTCATCTGGAGGTGGTTTTTCATCTGGCGGTGGTTTTTCATCCGGCGGTTCATTTGGTGGTTCATCAGGTGGTTCATTTGGTGGTTCATCTGGTGGTTCATTTGGTGGTTCATCAGGTGGTTCATTTGGTGGTTCTTTTGGTGGTGGAGAAGTAGGTAATGCACAAGCTTTTAATTCATTTAATCCTGCACCAGCATTACCATCTGCAAGTAGTGTTGCAGCAGCACATAGAGCACGTCCACCATCACAAAGACGTGTATTACCACCAATTGTATCAAAACATATATTCTATCATGCTGCTCCAGAAGAACCCGATGAAGAAGTTTATGAAGATAACTCATCACAACAAGAACGTAAACACTATAATGTTGTCTTTATTAAAGCACCACATCAATCTGTTAAAACAATTGCAACTCAAACCGCACAAGCTCTTAATGAAGAAAAGACAGCTATTTATGTATTAAGCAAGAAGAATGATGTCTCTGAAATTCGTCAAGCTCTTGCCGATTCACCACATCATCCAAATAAACCCGAAGTATTCTTCGTTAAATACAAGACTCCAGAAGAAGCACAACACGCTCAACAAACAATTCAATCTCAGTATGATGCTCTTGGTGGTTCTACTCATGTTTCTGATGAAGGTTATGCTCCAGTATCATCAGTTGTTGGTACATTTGATGGTGGTCATGGTGGTAGCGCTGGGTTTGGTGGAAACAATGGTGGAAGTGCTGGATTTGGCGGAAGCAGTGGTGGAGGTGCTGGATTTGGTGGAAGCAGTGGTTTCGGAGGTAGCTTTGGTGGTGGTTCTATTGGTTCTGGTAGCGGTGGTGGTATCATTACTTCTGGACGTGGAGTTATTAGTTCAGGAGGTGGTAATTTCATTGGTTCCAGTAGCAATTATGCCAGTTCAGTTGCTGCTTCATATTTACCACCAAATAAAGTCTAAGTACAAATTAATTTTATGAATTAATTTTGTTACTATTCTGTTAATTGAAACTTAATTTAAATTGATCGAACAAATAAAGTTTATTGTTTATTATTTGGAAAGATATGTAAGTTGTGATTTGTTCTTAATGCCAAATATAAACTAATTAAAATGGATTCATGCTTTTTTGGTAAAATTTGTTTATTACATTTTGTTTAAATTACATTTAACATCATTTTTTACAATTATATAGCTAAATAATATTTTTTCTGACTTCAAAATTTCAGTAATACACAATTCAGCAATTAGTGTTTATAAGCTGAATTATTTACTAATACGCAGTATTATTGCATTTTTGGAAGTCCCTATAATTCTGTTTCGTTTTATATACATATTCGAAATTATTACCATATAATTTACTTGTTTTTAAAAAATCGGGAATAAGATGTAGGTCTATAATTTCAAAAATTAAACAAAGAATAATTTTATTAATTTTTAATAACATATTTGCATGCTTATGTAAATCAGCCCTTATAATATGCAATTTTGGATTAATTTGACATTATAACAACTTAACAAGCCTAACATTTTACTTGATTCATATGTAGAGACAATTAATGTGTACTTTAAACTGTTTTTAATAATTTAAACAACAAGAATAGTAAATACTAAAAAAATTTTATATAAATTTGGTGCTTCACAAAATCTTAATGATTTCTTTAGCGAATATTTTACTTAAAATAGGAATTTGTGACAATTTCCAAAAAAAAAATTTAAAAAAAAAATTGTAAAATATTAATTTCAACTAAAGGTTCGAATCTTTTAAGTACCTAATGAAAAATTTTATTTAAAAATTAAAATTATATCAAAGAGTCGCAATTATTTTTTAAAAATATAGCAATTAATTAGTTAAATTTGTGTTTTGCGATTAGCAGCACAACTTGTTTTACAGTCTAAACTTCTTGAAATCTCAAATTGCATTTTTATATAACAATCTGCACCCACTGCTCAAATTTTCTGAAATTGTATTCTTGTACTTTTGTAAATTGTTCGTATAAGTCTAAAATCAAATTTTGTTTTTTTATCATTGTCATTATTCATAATCCTTACGTATATATTTTAAAAATGGCTGCTATTAAAACTATAATAATGCAGATTACAAAAGTGACATAATATGATTGCGGGACCCTAACGTATATTACATCAACTATACTATTTATTCTTTTTCAATCAAGTAATCAAAAAAATTTTCGAGGTTAAAAAGTAAAAATAGAAGTAAATATACTTAGACCCCAATTCCATCGTTCTATTCTAAATTCTTTTTTCCGATTTTTCAATTAGTAATAATCACAAATTTTACTTTCCATATTCTTCTTCATTTTCCGGTACATTTTATTTTATATTTTATGAACTTTTACATTTATAATAAATTCAAGTTCAAGACTAAACATTAATTTAATTTAAATTAATGCAATAAATTAAATTTTTATTATTAAATAGCGCTAATATCAGCATGCGTATAACATACGTATACCATACGCATGTACTAATGTATTCATTTTTATGAGTAATATGGGAAGGTGCGAATATTAAAATAAAATAAAAAAAAAAAATTACCATATATGAAATTCCCAAAAAAAAAAACGAAAAAAATGCGTGTTATTTAAAATACTTACATATATGTAATAATATATGTATATAACAGTAATTTAAATATTTAAAAACTAAAATGTAGTCAAATAATTTTCAAATTTATAACACTAAACTGACCTACCATGCTGTTTCATTTACATTTATTTACGCATAAAAATTCACCGAAAAAAGTCAGAAAAAGCTGTAAAACTTTAAAATTCGATTAATGCTTTCTTTCGATGTGTTTTACGTACATATGTAAAACATATTCAATTTAGTATATTAATTTTTTTATAATTTATAAGAGAGAGATAAAATTTATTGTTAGTTTTTTATTATTTATATTACTCGTATATTTAAATAAGGTTTCGGAATTTGAAAAAGGTATTTTAGAAAAAAAACAAATTTTGTATTTTGAGTTTTAAATTTATGAGTTCTTATTTAAAATTTATAATATGGTTTTGATCGTATAATATAATTTATATAGCGTTCTCAAATTTTTACATCAATGTTATATTCTATTACAAAATTATGTCAAAATATGCAATTTTATTGGAACTTAAAATTATTGAACATATAGAGAGAATTGAGGAAATGGCCATAGTGGAATAGCTATAGATGGTAAATAAGGAGAGATAAATCTGTATAATAAATCGAAAATTTAATTGTCAATAAAATAATTTTTTAAGAGAAACTTAACCGGTAACTTATAAATGTTGTATGCCTTCATTAACTTAATATATATTAGGCCGTCTTACTATACATATAATAATAAAAATTTTTAAATATGAATTTTATTATTTAAGTTTTATGTAATAAAATATTTTATTTAAATTTATTAATTTTTTGAAACACACATAATATATCCGTACATTTTAAAATCTAGTGTAAACAAACCGAAAATTTGAATGACATAAATTTCTTAATTACATATAATGACATTTATATTGAACAGGGTAAACTGAAGTGCAAATATTTTAAAAACTATTTGCATAAAATTATAATATAGGCTTAATATAATCAAATTTAAAAGTTAATTGCAGGAACCAAAACTTAATATCAACATTTTCAAATGAAATTGCATAGGAAAACTACATACCACAAAATCACATTTAATCCACTTTTTTCACTTATAATAATTTTGTTTGGGAAATGACATATTGCTCTTTATATTGAAATTGTTAACGTCAAACGTGCGCTTACTTCAGTGTTATTGTCAACTTAATTTGTTGGTCCAACATATCATAAAATCTTTGAAATAAATTTCGTAATAAAATATTTATTTGAAATAAATAAAAAATTTTTTATTTTTCTGTTTTTAAATTTTACTAAATTTTATTTGGAAAAATATAGCTGGACACTTAATACGTGCCGCAGTAAGTATAATTTTTAATTTTTCTCTTTTAGTACAATAATAAAATATCATTAATAAAATTGCTAGAAATTTCGATATATGGATAAAACATCTTTAATTTTTTAAAATATAAATTATATGTATTCGATATTATAATATATTATTATGATATATATAAAACATGTTGGAAATTCTCATACGGAAGCATTAATGCTATTAAGATCATCAATAAATAATATTAGTAATTAAATTAAAAGTTGTAGGTATCTAGTATTCTAGTGTATATTAATTTAAAAGTTGAAATATAAAAATGGCATTTTTTTTTTTGCTGTTTTTTTCCTAATTATACTGAAGAGGAAATTAATTTTAGTTTTTGAGTTGTTGTTCATAAATTTTTAATAACAATCTTATATACATATATAAAGTTATTATAATTTATGTGAAATTATTTATTTGATTAGTTACCTTAGCATAAGGTGCATTTACAAGAAAAAAACATGGAATTTAAATTTTATAATAAAACTGAAGAAACCAGGAGATAAGAAGACTAAATTATCAACAATGAAGTTCTAGACAACCACAAATGATTGTTCTGTTTATTTAATCACTTCAAATAAAGATTACTGGGAAGCTTGGCAAAATTCTGTAAAAAAAATTAAAATTTTTAAAAATTTCATGCGAAATTGTCGGAATAAAGAAAACTAAAAAAATATAAAATAGAAAAAATTAGAATTTTTTTTAAAATTCGAATGTTTGTGTTTTCGAAATTGTATAAAATACAAAGAAAAGGCGTATTGATTTTAAGCCCTTTACTAATCCCTTCAGAAACTGATTGTTTGAAGCTTTTATCTCTTTCGTAATGGAAGTTATAAGCAAAACAACTTGTTCAAGTAGAAATTTCTTGAAATTTCTTTAAAATCCTTGTATTACTGAAACCCTTGAGATTTGACATCCTTTCCTAATTAATAATAATTATGTATGCAATTTTTTAAAAAAAGTAGCTAATCATATAAATTCACTTTGTACGTCTTTCCAATTTTAATTTCTTATATGATAAAAAAAAGCCTGCTCTCATATATTGTTACGTTTCTTGTTTTGCTTTAAATGTCAGTAGCTTAAATTTTGTATATCGAGGACATTGTGTATGTTTAAAAAATTGGTGAAAATATTTTGAATAATTTAGTGAAAATAAATTTAAACTGACTTTAAAATTATTTTCTCGATTTACCAATTACTATTTTAAAATTTTTAATAATAAATTTTTTTTATTTACTAATTACTCCTAAACATATGCAACAAGAAATTATTCATAACTGAACTGTTTGTAATAAAAATAACATTATTTTCATTAAACAAATTAAAAATATGGCGCTTTGTGATTTTTGTTTTTCCGTACATAAATATTTACAAAATTCTTTGCATACTCCTCTTTTAACTTTCTAAATTGTAATAGCTATAATTCTAATTGTAATTTTTAAAATAAAATATCCTTACAGGCAACTATAAGGGCTTTCTATTTATCTATGATTTGACACAAGCCATTCACATATTGTTAAAATACTATTTTAATCAACAACTACAATTAAATATAAAATTGTGGTATAAATAGCAACAAATGCTTACTCGTATTTAATACGAATGCAGAAAACACTTCACTTGTAGTATTTCAAGTTTAAGTGTAAAACTACATATATTTACTTAATTTTCTTGTTTTAAGATGTTATTAAAAAATATTAATTATATTTTCTGTAAAAATACCATAAAAGTTTTTGATTATGTACGTAAATATTTAAATTCATTAAAATCTTTACAGACATGGTATACATAATGATAATTAAAATTATGAGATATGGAAAAAAACAATATTTCAAATTAATATTTAGAAAAAAAAAAATTTTTATCAAGTGCAAAATTTGAATAATTTTCATTTTAAAAAAATTTAAATATCCAAAAATAACTATACAAATTTATTTATGGATATTTAAATGTCCGTGAAAATCAACTAAAAATTCATTTTTAATATTTTAAAAATTATAAAATATTCACTTCAGCTTACTATTTAAAAAATAATGCATACATAAGTCAAATGTATATAAATTGTAAACACTATATTTTATATACCAGTTATCAATTAATCATTGTAAATATAAGATTTTTTATAGATATGAAAACAAAAAGCAAAGCAAAAAATTTAGCAACACACCTACATGCCACCGGTTTAATTTGGAATATAAATTTTAATATAATTATATAGAACCGAAACAAAATGTAAATTGAAAATTTTTTTATAGCATAAAAAATGTTTTTTGTTATAATTGAAAAAAACAAGCAGACAAAACAAAAATTAACATTAAAATTAAAAAATTTTAAAAAATATTTTCAAAAAATATAAAATTAAAATAAAAATAAAATAAAATTTTTGAAAATTTTCAATTTGCTATTTTTTTTTATTAACGATTTATTTACGCACTTTGCAACTTCCTCATTAATAACGCCATCTATTTATTAACTTCTAAATTATTATATAAATTAGATAAAAAAAACCATTCTATTTGAAAATTGTTGTTTAAAACAAATTTAAATTTTGAATCAATTTACAACTATCCAACTGTAAGAAATCTCTATAAGTCTATAATACTTGAAATTTTCAATAAGGGTTCGTAAAATAAAAGAGTTGGTTTTTCAATATACGTACGTAATAATGTGTAAAATGCAAGTTAACCAATATGTAGGTAATCTATTTAATTCGACTGCTCAAATTGTTTTTTGGAATAATTCGAAATAATTTTAATTAAAATAATAAATTTTTATTGAAATCGATTATTTTGAAATATGTTACACAATATTGGGAAGAAGTATAATTCTCTCTATTTTTAATTGTAAAATAGATACGAGTATAATAATTACAAAGACAAGTAATCAAATCAATGACTTTTAAAGTAATCAATTTCAATTCGATAATTTAAATAAAAATTTAAAACTTTAAGAATTTTAAATTTACAAATTTAAAAAAAAAAATCTGTATTAAAAGAAATAAGGTTACAGCCATATTTTATTGCATACATTTAGGGGAAGTATTAGAAAAAAGGATTCTGTATAATAATATAAAAAATAATGATGCTACAATAATATATTCGTAAATTAAATAATATATAGCTTGTAAAAGCGTTAAATATAAGGAATTCAAATCTTAATTTTCAATAAAATATTTTCTATCGTTATTTTTATTTTATTGAATATGAAATAAAACAAATAATTTGGAATAAGAAATTGGAATTTTTGTTAGATTTGAGTTACAATTTCAAAGCACTTTACAATTAAAAACATTTCGGCCTTCTGGCTTATTTAAAAGATCACGTCAAAAATTTTTGAGTAGAATAACGGTTAATACTAATATTTTCTTATAACCTTTTTAAATAAAAGGGACATTTTGAGAATTTTCGTTATTTGTGGTAAGAATTTAAATTTTTTGTGAAGAAAATAACTTAAAAGGGACTATTTTTGTATTAATTATAAAACTTGTATAAAAATCTTCTATAAAAATTAAGAAAACAATTTAAATTATGCTTGCCATCATATATATGCTAGTGTATATATGATGGCAAGCATAATTTTATATTACCATTAAAAATAAATGGTAATATAAAAATATCGAAATACGTATTTAATTTGTAGCTAAAATCTAAAATAGCGTATAAAAAAATACACATATGTACAAGCGTATAAATGCAAATTAAAGACAAAAACCCCCTCTTCCTTTTCAAAATTGGTTAAAAAAATAATTATACAATATAAAATGTTATATAAAACCGTCTAGTTCTAAAATATTTTATATTCACCATAATTTTTTTTTTAATTTAGTTACCCATTTTTATTTTATACGTTATATGTATTTTTTATTATGTGCATATTTTAAAAAATTGTATATATAAATCACCTTAAAAAAAAAAAAACAAATCAGCAATGAAATCTGCAATAAAATTTTGCTTTTATTTTATTTTACAAATCAACTGATTGTTGTTTATTATTGAATTGAAATATTTTTTTTATAAAATATATTTTAATTCAACTTCATATACTCGTAAAACACTCATAAATACAATACATTATTATGTATATAATATTTATTATATAATACATTATATTTTTATGTTATCATGCATTTATAGCATCTAAATTCGTCTCTTTTTAATTTGGATCAAGAAATTATGTAAATTAAGTTTTAATATATATGAAAAATTATATAGCCCAGTATCGTAATATATAAATAGTTTTCTTAGTTTTTAATTTTAATAGCCGAATTGTAATGTGTATACTATAGTCAAAAATAGTGAAATTAAAAAATGAAAAAAAAAAACAACAAGAGTTCATTTTTTAAAGGTGTGACAATTTTAAAATGAATTTGTACGGTTATATAGTAAGAGAAAAAAAAAACTAAAATCAAATTAGTATAAATATTCATTGTACCACAAAAAAATCATATTAGTTACATTTTATCTGTCTTAAGATCATCATTATAGTTTATATTAATTTGAAGATGCGAAGCTTTTTGGTAACTAAAAATTACAATGATTATTCCAACAAATTTTAAATCATAGACAAATCAAATTTCAGATAGCAAGTTGTATTTTTGTGATTATAAATGCAGCACCACAAGGATATAATTATAATACACCCCAAAATATAATAGGATCTAGTGGTAGTAGTTCACACCAAGTTGTTTCTCATTATTCTGGTGGTGGTTCCGGAGGTTCTGGTCTTGTAGGTATTGGAGGTGGTGGTATTGGGGGTGGTGGTATTGGAGGTGGTGGTATTGGAGGTGGTGGTATTGGTGTTTCGCATTTAGGTGGTGGAAGTAATGCTGGTGGCTCATTTGATAATTCACAATTAGGTAATGTACAAGCATTAAGTTCATTTAATCCTGCACCAGCACTTCCATCAGCAAGTAGTGTTGCAGCAGCTCATAGAGCAGCACCACACCAAAGACGTGTATTACCAGCAACTGTATCAAAACATATTTATATTCATTCTGCTCCTGATGAACCTGAAGAAGAAGTCTATGATGATAATTCATCAGAACAACAACATAAACATTATAATGTTGTTTTCATTAAAGCACCACATCAATCAGTTAAATCAATTGCAGCTCAAACTGCACAAGCTGTTAATGAAGAAAAAACAGCAATTTATGTATTGAGCAAAAAGAATGATGTTTCTGAAATTCGTCAAGCTCTATCCGATTCACCACATTCAGCTAAAGCTAAACCCGAGGTATTCTTTATTAAATATAGGACACCAGAAGAAGCTCAACATGCTCAACAAACAATTCAAGCACAATATGATGCTCTTGGTGGTTCTACAAATGTTTCTGATGAAGGTTTCGCACCTATATCATCGGTTGTTGGCGCCTTGGATGGTGGAAATGGTGGTGCTATTGGCGGAAACGGTGGTATTATCAGTGGTGGTGGTGGTTCAATTGGAGGAAACGGTGGTGCAATTGGTGGAAATGGCGGTTTTGCTGGCAATGTTAGACTTGGAGGATCATTTTCTAGTGGTCACGGAAATATTATTAGCGCTGGCGGTAGCGATAACATTATCAGCTCTGGTAGCAGTGCATCTGGTCAAGCTGCCTATTTACCACCAAATAGAGTATAGTAATTTAAAAAATTTTATATAAGTTAACTTTTGTTCTTTATAAGATCAAAAATGCTTTGGCACTCTATTTATTGCAATAATATACTAGTTCAATAAAAAAATTTGGTTTAAGTAATTTTATTACTTATTACTAATTAAAATGTGAAAAATATAAAACACGACTAGTTATTTAATTGATTTATATTAAATAATTAATTGAAAATTTTACTTGCTTTATAGTTTTTCGAATTCACAAAACTTCAGCCGAAATGTATGATGAAACTTCAAATATTATAAATTTTTACATATGGAAGGCACAATGCGTTTTTTTTTGTAAATTTATTTTTGTAAATAATTCTAGTATCGAATATTGATTTAAGCTTTGATACATCATATTATACTCAGCCTTACCACTTTTTTGCTCCATATCGTTTACTTTAAATTTAAAACAACGTTACGCTAGACTACCAGAACCTATAATTCATTTAAATAATTCATTTTGGTTAAATTACAAAAATTGCAATTAAAACGAAATATATTTTTTAAAAATAAATTTTCTTTCATGTATTTAAATTGAAAACTTTCTAATATTACTACAATTTTTATTTTTTAGTTGAACTATATTGTTTAGTAGCAAATTCTATTCTGTTATACGAATTTTAATATAATACAATAATTTAGATCTATTATCTTATTTGAGCTTTGTTAAATATTTATTTCTGTACGTACATGCTTACACATATAAGCATGTAAATGTAATATATGTGTATAATATACTTATCATATAAATATATACTTATTGTAATCTTTATGATATGAATACCTTAGGTAAGTTATACTTTATTAAATTAATTGAGTATAAGAATATTTCATTTTTTTGTTGGTTAATTAAGTACAATATTAATTTACAATTTTTTTAAACTAAAAAATTTATTTATAAAATTATTTCTGAATAGCTTCGCTTACATTGTACGAATGTACATTTTGTACCAAATGAAATTTTATATAGTTAAGATATGTAAAATAAAGATACATTGACGCAGTTTTCATATTTCTTAAATAACCCGCTAAACTAAACAAGCTTAGTGGCTAATTAGCCATATATTTACTTGGAATTATTGATGAAAATCAATTTTAATAGATTTAATAGAAAAAATGAAAAGCAATAATGTACTTAACGCATTTTAAAAATTATTGAAATATCCAAGAATGTGCGTATTTCTTTACAAACACTAATTTAATTAGAATCACAATTGTATTATATTTTGAAATATCTTTGAAATAAAACAATTTATTTTATTGAAAGGTTGTATAAATGAGGTATGTAAGTTATTTGCATTAAATGCAGTTGTTTTTTCTTATTTATAGTATCATATTCCCAAAACATATTACTTATGTATAAAGTAAAAAATTGTTTAAGTAAAAATAAATTAATTTAAGAATTAAAATTATATTCAATATAAATTTTTTGCGAAAACAATTGAATTAGATATTCGTTTTTTGTCTAAATCAGAAACTTAAAACATTTTTGGTTTAAAAAGTTCAGTACAATGTTATTTTTTAATTATTTTAAAAACGTTCAAATTCAGTCCTTCATAAATTACATTCGAGCGATTACAGACTAAACTTCAAAAGTCTTTATTTTATTAAAATTGTCAAGAGTTTTTATATTTACATCACTAAATTTTTGAAATTAAACAAACAATAATTAGAAAAATATTTTCTAAAAAATAAAAATGCAAAAAAGAACAATGAAATATTTGAATATTTAGAAAAAATAAAGTCTATCTTGAAAATTTTTGGCGTAAGCATTACGATTGCAATTCATAATTGGTATATTAAAAAATCTCCAAACAAAATCTGTTTAATTCGGAATTAAATATACATTTCCCTAATTTCTCCGAATATTAAGGCTACAAGTGGAGTTCATGATAAGACTGATTATTTGTGAAAAGTGTTATACGATAAAAGGTGCCGTTAGCTAATAAGTATTCATAACAGCAGATATGTAATCAAAAATTTCAAACTTAACTTTAGTATAAAAATCAAAGCTCAAATAAATAACAGATCTGTTAACAAAAAATACTCGTATTATTATTCTCCATTATTGATAAAAATTACAAAAATAATCGATAATTATTATAATATATAGTATTTTTTTTATATATTTTTTTAATAGCTAATAAAATTATATTGTTTATAATTTTATAATATTAATGTATTTACAAATTAAATTATTTGGAATTTAAAAATGTTATTGGTGTATATTGACTGTTATTCTCTATTTAATTATAGAAGAAATCACAAAATATTAGTTTTTAAATTTCTGTTTTTGAATATTATATAAAATATTTTGGATGTTAGAGAACTAAAATTTAAAAAAAAAAAATTGAAATTCATAAAAGGTTTGAAAATCATTTTACAAAACTTTTATATTAAAGGTGAAACTTAACAAAATCACTTTTCCTATTATTATTATTATTGTATTTCTTATTCTTATTGTAATTACTTTTATTTCCGCAATCTGCAAGAATAATAAACTCCACTCCATTTAATTTTTTTTTTCAATCAATTAAATATTTTCAGAGTTTGTTTCAACATTCCAAAATATTGTTATAAAATTTTAAAATTAAGTTTTCGCATTTTCGTATTAATTAAATATAAATTTATTATAGTATAAAAACAATTATTTTTACACAATTTCAATTTACTATTTCATAATATGAAGCATATATTTATATTATAATATAGTTCTAAAAAAATAAATTTTTGTTCTGCTAACTTCTACAAAGTTTTAAAAGTTATGTTTTAAATAATAATGTTGAAAATGTAAATTTTTTTTAATTTATACTTCATTTTGGAATAATTTTCAAATAAAAAAATAAGTTATTTAGAAATGTAATATATAAATGTATATCAATTAAATTAAATCAAATTATCTACAGCTATCATATCGATTGTCATTTTTATTAATTTTGAAATCTATTTAACTTAAAAAAAGAAAATCATCAAATACTCGTAGTTAAAATGAAATTTAATTTAAATCATAATAATTTACTTTTGGAATTCAAATTATTTAATACGAAATTAAATTTTATTGTACCTTAAAAAGGATTTATTTTAGACATAATTAAAAAAATTTCTGTAGAAGTATAAATTTAATTTAGCTTATAAAATTATTAATGATTGTTCGAAATTGTTATTTATTTGAAAATATTTTATTAAAATTTCGGTAATTATTTCCAAATAACGTAAATATTGTGTGATATAAATATTGAGACGGAGAAATAAAGCTCAAAACATCCATTTATCCTCGTTCCCTCTTCTTCGATTTCTGTAAATAAATATCAATAACGCATATTTTAATATAATATAATTATATAATTATATAATTAATATAACAATTAATATAATACAATTTACATTAGACTTATGTCAAATCACTATAACTTAAGCATATAATAAAAACACAAATATACGAAATTATATTTTCGTGCAATATAAAATCTCCAAATAATTATATTTTCTGGCATATGATTTAAAAAAAACATTAATTAATCACTATTTATAAAAAAAATAGAAGCGTGCCTAAAATAACAAAGTATTAAAAGCAAATTTACTAATAAATGACAATTGTAATAAAGGGAAAATTTCAGGTAGTACAAATTAAAATAAATTTAATAGCAAGTTGAATTTTCTTAAAAGTTCTAAGCTGCGCTCAATTTAAAATGTCCAACATGTATCTCTTGATAAACTCATCTTATTCACTTAAACAATCGACTTACTACAAGCAATAAAATTTAAATTATACCAATTTGCATCAAAATATATCATTCAATCCAGTTAATTACAAAATTAGAATATTATCGTTAACATATTAAAATTAAAATAAAATAAAATATTTCCATTAAATTTCATATATCATGTACAATATCATTTAATAGTTAATATCCGCCAAAAAGAACGTTGGGAGATATGACAAACAAAATAAGTATTATCTAGAAGAATTTTCAAAATGATCTTCGTAATTGAAATTGTCAAAATAAAAGCAAATGCAATCTGAAAGTTAAAAAATAATTACTTCTATTAATTATAAAAATGAAATTTGTATAATATCTTTTACTCTATGTACCAGATATAGTAAAGTTATTTGTTTATTAAGTAAATACCTGTTCAAAAAAAGGAACAAAATAATAATATAAATTTGTTTACATACAAATAAAATAACAAAACAAAAAAAATTCAATTGGATTTTCTTTTATTTCTTTATAAAATAATCTATGTATATATGTAAATGTATATACAAAAATACAATATAAATTTTATAACTACAGGCGTTTTTTTTAGAACTTTTTAAATAGCTATATAATAAAAAAAAACAATTAAAATAATAGGTTTCCTTGTTAATAATGATTTATTTAAAATAAAAAAAAAATTATGTTCTAAATTAAATTATAAATGTTTGGAAAAATCAAAACTGCATCAAAACGTTATATAAGATTCAGCTACTCTACAATATTAATCCGAATCTTGCCTCACAATCGTATTGATTCATTTTTGATATTTTCTTTTATTAAATGGAATGCATGAATTATTTCTTTTTTGAAGTCACATAATTTTCGGAATTATAAATACAAAATTTCTAAAACAATTTCTTTAGCAAAATAATTAATACAAAAATACATCAAGTTGTAAGATGGACGCAAAATAAATTTTTTATTATTGCTGTTTAAGATTATTTTTCATAGCATAATTTCATATATGATATTTAAAGTATAAATTGTAATGATTTTATTAATTCTTTTTAATTCTAAAATATTCCTTTCTTCGTTTCACATTGATTTTTTTTCTCTCAAATACTTTACTTCAATTTAAATTAGGACAAAGATTTAATCAATTAAATTGAATGAGAGAAAAAAAAAATTGGTATTTGCCTTTTAGAATAAATTAAAAAAAGGCATGTGGTATGTACATTACATTAACAGATTGCCACTAATATTAAGTTTATTGTTTTGACATTATAAAATTATCGTCTAAATATAATTTTTATTTAACATTTATTTTATATTTATGTATATTTACATTTCATGTGTAACAAATCTATAAAATTTTGAAAAAGCAATGTTAAAACAGTTTTTTATTTAATAAATTTTCAAAAAGAAATAAAAATATTTTGCAATATTAATTCATTGCACCAATTAATTTTTTGAAATTTTAAGCAATCTGTTAATACAGCTCATGAAGAAGTGACAATCTATTGAGTTTGAACAAGAAACACTTTTTTCACATATAGATTTAAATAAATATTCGATTCTCTACTCAAAAAAATAAGTTACAAATTTTTACATTTATTTTACTAAATAAATTTGTTGAACTTGAATATTTTAATTAAATATAATAAAGTTCTTCTCTCTGAAGTCTTATTACATTATCTACAATTTATACTTTAATTATCGTATGGGTACTACACTTTATAGTTCAATTACCAAAAAGGTAACTTAACAAATAAGTAACAAGAGCGGACGCGATTTTCAAAATTGGGAAATATAATATTACACAAATGAAAAATTGGTAGTATTCATTTATAAATAATAGATGTATAAATAAAAAATTCGTTTGAATAATTCGTTGTTCAAGTTGAAATAAAAATAAAACGAATAAAAATTTATTCGGACAAAGAGCAAAAATATCTAAATTTACTTTATTACTAAAACAACCATTATTTAGATTAAGAAAACAATTTTTTGACTTACAATATTAAGTTTATATTCAATATACAATTAATTGTAACCTTTAAGAAAAATTCCATCATGAATTCTCTTAAAATAATTAAACTCAAGTAATTCAAAATATTTGAACTCAAGTATTTGTAAATATTTAAAGTCAAGTAATCTTTTTAAATGTTATCATTTCTTTTACAAGATCACAAAAATTTAAAAAAAAGCCAAATATTTATAAAAATTATTGGGTCTTTCTTATCATATTGTTATTCCAAAGGGAATGTTTAGATTTCTTCTTCGTTCTTTGAAAAAAAATTTTGTCCGAATGTCAAATTATAAGAAAAAAAAGTTTACAAATACATTGATATATATGTATGTATAAGTATGTACATATATGTATGTATGAATTTATAAATTAGATTTAGTTTCATGTTATATTATATGCAAATAATAATAATATATACTAGTAATAATATTGCATTACAATTTTCAACACACAAAATACAAATATTTATATAATATTAAGAAAAAAATTATGTTTATGTTATCAAATTAATAATCAAACTTGTGTTACGCACTGAGCGTATTTATCCAATTCTGTTTTTAATCCTTTCACTTTATCAGTCTCCTCACGCAGTGATCTAACTAAATTTTCAATAATTTTACTTTGCGAATGCACAATTGATTCCAATTTATTTAATCTTTGTTCTAAATCAATAACACGGGAAGAAACATTATCTTGACTAATTGGAAGACTGTTATTACTATGATGAATTGCAGTTGCAGTGGCTGTAGTTGTGGTTGCGGTAGTTGATGAAGGATTAGTTAAAGCAGTAACAGATGAATTCGTTGATGATATTGTCGATGATTGTGGTGGCAAACCGGATTGATGATTAATATTATTATTATTATTATGTGCTATTAATGACGACGCAGATGATGAAGCTGAACTGGCTCTTACATTTTGAACATCTAAACTAGTTGCTTTATTAAGTGATGTCCGACCAGATGGCGATGTGCTACGATTTCGTATTGATAAACTATTTGGTCTTAATTTAACATCGTCAATATCTTGACTAATCGATGCTTTAAGTGCTGAAACTGATTTCGTCATATCATTATTAGAATTTGTCATGTTCGTATTTATGACACTTGGGACAATATTATTACTGGATGTTTCTCTTTTACCGTCAATTGAACTGGTTTGATATGAAGCTGAAAATATAACGGAATTTAAGTAACATTCATAAAAAGAAAACGAAAAGAAAAACAAACCTTCTGAAGATTTTCTATGCGTGTTTGAATTAACAACCTTGGTTGTTGATATGCTATCCATTTTCTCCATTTTAACTTCTGATTCTGACGTCCTAGAAACCCTATCGATTGGTCGAGGCTCTACATTAGGTGAGGTTTTCTTTTTTTCTTGACTTGCTTTTAATTCAGCCATCCAGGGCGCTTTCATTTTTTCCCATTCTCTAGGCTTGGGTTTTACCAGTTCCTCATTATCTCCAAGCGCTTCTGTGCTACCAGAAGTTGGTGAGGAGTCACCTTTATTACCCTCATATTGTTCTATATAGCTTCCACTACCATTTAAGTACACTGGATTATTATTATTATTACTTTCACCAATTATATTTATGGCCGCTGAAGGCGGCCTTCTTTTTGGTGCTTTGACACGCGAAGCTCGCATATCACCCAACATTGATGATCTTTCTACATTATCAAACTCAACTCCGCCAATGCCATCTTTATTAATACTGACCCGTTCTGTTGCAATATTTTTTTCATTATAATCAGCTAACTGATTGCCAGGTTGGGTTGCTTTACTTGCTGTTATACCATCCACCGTATCATGAGAAGTTAATTTTTGTTCCACACTTTTAACTTTATGTTTAATTCCGCTTATTATGTTGCCAGCAACAGATGTAACGGATGTTGATTTTTTAACTGGAACAATTGGTTTTTTACCTAATACCGGTGGAGGTGTCTTCTTTTCATCAATATTTTCTAAACTTTTTCTCAAATCCGAATTCTTGTTTGCTGAATCCATACTGTTGCGAGTTTTACGAATACCTGGTGTAGAAGATGTAATATTATTAACATCTGTTATTGATCCTGAATTGCTAATAGAGCTCGAAATTGCTCCTGCATTATTAGTTAAATCTAAATTTTTACTTTCTAATGATTTTCTCTGAGCAGCAACATTTCCAGTTTGAAGACCTGTTTCACTCAAAATATCATTCAATGAATCTCTTGATCCAAAACTGTCTTTTCTATTTGACGAACTTTGAGTTGATGATCCACTACCAGATTTTTTAATAAAAACTTTTGATGAATTTGTTGCAGTACCACTTGGCGGGCGATCGGAATGTGATGATGAATTATTTGAATCTTTATTTGGTGAAACTAAAATATAAGTAAAAAAAAAGTGATTAATTTTAATTTTAACAGAAAGTTTATTTCTATGGCTAGCAAATATACATTGTAATATATAATATTCTGTAACAGCAACTATTAACAATAGTATTGGGTCATTTCCAATCATTTAACTAAGAAATCTAAACAAAAAATTGCAAGCACTTTCTAATAAAATTTACTAATCAGTGAAAGTATTATTTCTTTGACCATTTAGAAATATACCACAATAATTATAGAAAATCCATCAGTAATGATCTCATACCACATTTTAGAATATAATTTAAGATTTTTATTAAATTATTTAACAATGCAAATCTACTAAGTTTGGATTTTATTTATTCCAAACAAATTAGTCATCACAAGTATATTTAAGATTTTTTTTTTCTTAAGGTATTAAAAATTAAATTTTTATTTTATTTTAGAAATAAAAGATAGTAGCGTACTTTTAATGATTTTGTTTATGTTAAATGAAACTAGATTTTTATTACAAATCACTATTATTTGATAATGAGTAACTATTTTAAATTATAAATATATATTGAAACTTAAATGAATATCCCAATCACATTTCGGACTAATTATTGAAAATTCAATGATGGATTTGAAGCGATTTGTGATTTCTTAAAATAAAACAAGAATATTACATTTCATACTAATTTATTTAAATCAAAAATTTAAAATCAACAAACCGTAATAAATACAAATGAAATTAACTTTTAAAATTATTTTCAATTTATTTACTTTTTGAATAACTTGATCTCTTCACAAATCTACTGTTTCCGCATAAAAGTAATATTATTTCATAGAATTTGTAAATAAAATTTTTATATATTTTGTAAAAATGATTTTATTTCCTAATTGGACATAAATTAGAAAAATAATATCAAAAACTACAAAAAAAATTTTTAGGCAAATTTTATTAGAAAAAAAACTTTAAACCAAACACAATGTTTATGCTCCATTACTTCAAATCACAATAGTTTTCTATAATCAATTCAAAGAAATTTATTTTTAAAAAATTATTCAAGACAATTCAAACAATTTAGGTTTTTTTATTTTCTTCAATAAACGATACTTATAACTTTCTGTATATGTATTTAATATGAATGAAAATAAGAATGGGTATTCTGCAGAAATTTCACAAAATATGAGGAAAAAATTTACAATACAAAAAAGATGAATAAATTTGAAGAATTTAAGGAGACTAAGAAAAATTTTTTGTAACTTGTAATTTACTTGAATTAAATTAATTAATTATGCAATAATGTATTATAGATTCTAAATCCAACGATTTGCTAAATTAAAAAACTTGGTTTTAATTAGAATTTAAAGATAATTATTTATATTAAAAATTTTTAAAAGCCATAATAATGTCCCTTTAAACTTTATTTGAAAAGAACAGTCGAAATTTAAACAAATATGAATTTTAAAAAATATAGTTTTCGAATATCGGATATATTAAAAATATAGCCGATATTCGAAAACTATAGCCACTGTTTTTTTTTTTTTTTTTGTCAAGAATTTTTCTTATCAATTCTTTATTATAAACAATAACTTTATAATGGATAACTTACTATTTTACGGTATTAATAGCCAATCATTTTTAAACAACTAATTTATTTAACTTGAATTAATTTTAAGCTAACAAAATTAATTGAGAATATAAAACAAATAGACATCGTTTGCGATTTACACCCATTAAAGAACAAGAATTATTTATATATCTATTTTTATATGCATGTATACAAGTTGGGCACCCTGTATAAAAGAATTAATTTTAAATTAACTTGTATACATATAAAATACAACAAGATCTATTTCACTACATAAAAAAAAAAAACTGTTATGTAATAAATGGGAATATACAATAAAAATATTCTTTTATTGACACAATAACACAATTGAGATTCGATCTTAAGGTTAAAAGAATTTTTTATTTATATTTGTAAACGAACATATTTAAACATATGTACATATGTATATGTCTAATTGTATGTATACAGTCATCGCATATTGTTTTGATTTTAATGTTTTGATTTTAATTTTATGGCATTTTTTTTTTATTATTAATAATTTAAAAAGATTAAAATACTTATGACCTCATATTATGTTAATTTGTAAAATATACTTAATAAACGAAAATATAAAACCGCGTATTATTGCATTATAAAGCTTTTTTTTCTAAATATTTTTAATCTTCTTTTTGGTATAGTTTAATTTTTTTTTTTGTATACCTATAAAATTATATTTTTAATTTTAATTACTTATAAATAAATTTTGCATTCACATTATCACACACAAGCAGTATAATTTTTAAATTTACACTTTCATTTTTACAAATTAACAGAATTATATGTAAGTAAATATGTATGTGCATATGGTTGTACAGAAATAAATTATAATACCTATTTTAAAAATTCAATAATAATTAATTTACATTGACCTAAAATTTCCATAAATTCTTAAGTGTTCCCAAAAAAAAAAACTTTTATATTCGTTTTATTTCATATTTTTTATATTCTAAATTCAATACAACATCCGCATAACAAATGTTTTGCAATATTTTGTATGGTTATGTTTATATCATATCATGGTTATGTTGTCATATAAAAATAAAAATAAAAATAAAAAATCATAATAATCACTTTTTTTTTTTTTGCTGTTTCTTCTTTTTGTCTTTATTTGCAATCATTGTAATTTAAAACAAATATTTTAGATCACGTCTTTATAAAAATGTAGGCTTTTAAAACTTAAAACAGAAAAATATTTTTATTTTTCTTTCTTCTTTTAGAAATATAAGGCAAGAAACTATAATACATAAATTATAATAATAAAAACAAAAAAAATCGATTTAATTAGGTAAACAAAATATTGAAAATTTAAAATAAAAAAAGAAAAAAAAATAGAGAGAAAAAGTGAAAAGATTTTTTACTTTTCAACTTTTGCATAACTTTGCGTCGGTCTAAGTTATGAAATAATTTCTATTTTATTATCTACTTTTTACTAATTTTAACCCTTTGCGACCCAAAATTTATTAATTTTCAGCAAACGTTGTGGTCATAATTTTGTCCAATGGGTGGTTATATATGTATGTACATAGCTTATTAAATTTTTTTTATAATTACAAAATATTCATGTTTGCGTTATTTGGTAATAAAAGACATTTTTGGTCACAAGACGGCGAAATACTAATTTCTTTTAAATTTAATTAAAAAGAACAAAATTAATTTGGGCCTTCATTGGTTAGTGCAAAAGGCCATGTATCGATGTATACATAGGAGCAAAACTATGAACCGACAGAACAACAATAAATTTATATATAAAAATAATTTTCTTTAATAACGCATATGTGATGTTATAAATTTTCTACAACTTTACATCGAAAATTTCCTCCGGTCGTTAACTAGTTGGAGGAAAATTAATTTTTTTTTGTACAAATCAATGGACTGAAAACTTTTAATATTTTTATTTTTATCGGACATACAACTTATAGAAAATGAGAAATAATTGCCTTGCTCTACTAAAATATTATAGTTTTCAAATAGATATTTATTTAAGGAGTTGTTCAATGAATTTTACACAACTAAGTATACCTTATGAAACTGCAGAAATTTATTACTTACTGCGAAATAATTTAAAATTTCTTTATCTTGTTAGAATTTTATAATATTTAAAATATTTTCATACTTTTTAATAATTATGATAAAGAACACAAAAGTATCTATGTTTTTTGAATTCTAAATACCTACATACTAATAGATATTAATAAATTCTTTCTAGTAAAGCTAGATAATTAAAATTGACGATAAAAATTATTGATAAATTTCATTTAATATTGTTAAAAATTTTATATATCTATGTATATAACTAGTTATAATTAAACAAACCTTATTAATAATAACAAAAAAAATTTTGCTTTAATAAATTTTGTAAATTTACAATGCTAAATATAGTTCCAATAGCACATAAATCGTATAACATTTCATGTCCACGAAATATTTATATTCATTTGCAATTTTAATGTTTATTTATGAAATATCAAAATATTAAAGCTTATAAAATTTCAGCGGAATAATTTTCAAAACCATATGATTGTAAAATAAAAAAAAAAATATTTAAAAAAAACCATGTTTCTTCATTGTAATTTAAACTAATAAAGCTTTATATTGTATATAAAGAAACTATTTGACAAAAATGTAGAAAACTTTCAATTTGTGACGAGAAAATTAATCAAAATATAGCAATTCATAAATTGAAAAAATTAAAGAATGTTTTAAAATAAAAATTATAAACTTGTAATTTTTAATTATGTATATGTATGCTTTTGTTATAATTAATTTGCAGCTATAGGCTACTACACCCTAAACGAATTGAATTTATTTGTTTTATTTTAAATATTATAATGAATTTTTGCGAATTTGAATAATAGAAATTTAAATATTAACATACATAATTGCAGAAAATTAAATCAGTGAAAATAATTTTAGACTTCACACTGTTTAAGAATATTTTAAAGTTTTCAATAGTTAAAAAGTATAACCACCTTATTATCTGCCACAATATCATCTAGTCTATTTTAATTTCTAAATTAATTGCAATGGATAGCAATTGAAGATATTAAATATATTATATACATACATAATGCCTAACAATATTTTCACTATTTCCTAATAGTAAATTTTGCCATTTCATTATATTATAATTAAGTATTCAATTTTAAATAGGGGCTTAATTAAATAAGTATAAGGATTTTTATTTTACACTTCTCGCAATTTTATTGAATAAATATATAAAATACACATTGAAAAAATGAACCTATAGTTTACAAATTAATTATCATATTCGCCAAAAACGAATACTTAAATTATTTAAAAAAAAAAAAAATAAACAAAAAGCAAACAGCAGTGTATAACAGATAAAATTCTTTAATAAAAAATTTTTATAAATTATTTTATTGTCTAGCTTTGTTTACAAATAAATATTTAAAA